GGCGCTGTCCAACATTGAAGATTTCGGTGTCATGTTGAAGCCAGTTCAAGTAGCGGGCCAGCTTCTTGGTAATATAACTTTTGCCTCGGGCCGGGAGGCCGACCATGACAATGACAAGCTTTGCACCAACATCCCGCTGGGCAATGCGGCCATCTGGAGACACCTTGGATTTGGTCAATCCCGGAATATCGAGAGTAGTTGCTCGCACTCGGCCGGGAGTACCAGGAGGGTGGTAAAGGCCCGATCTACAAGAATCATATTAGTCACGGTTTGCCAAGCGCATCCAAGCAAGTCGCAAGGCAGCAAACGTAAAAATAACGGGTTAAAGGTGGGCTGGGGTCCGGGGTAAGGTAGATAAGCTCAGAATAAGGCTGCAAAGAGCGGAACAGGACTGATCCCTCTGTCTCATGTTGCCGATCAAGCTGGCCTCATTCTGATAGGCCCATAGTAAAGTCCAAAAGGTTCTAGACAACAAAAAAAAAGGAAATAAGACTCACATCTGTGGAGACGGAGGTGCGGTAGAAACCGGAGTGTCTGTCAAAGCCGTTCCGACTCCGCCCTTAGGCGGCAGTGAAGATTTGTGGGAATCGGAATGCAGGTCATTACCTAGCGCTCGGTTGACCACAGTTTTCGGAGGCATAAGAGCTCCTTCTTTTCCCGATCCCGAGCCATTAGACGTGCCGTTGGGCTTAATATTATTCCTCTGATCCCCCGTCTCGGTGGCCGACGTCATGGCCGACCGGGCAATGCTAGAATGTTGCGCCATCCCCCGGGGGGATGCTTTTTGTTTGTGTGCTTGATTAAAAAAGGCTTTGCTCTTTTCAGAGCTTTCTCACAGAGTCGAGTTGACAAGAACTTGTGCCGGCAACTCGAAGGGAAAAAAAAGATGGTGAGAGAGGGGGAGAAAAGAAAGTGTCGGAGGTTTGGATGAGTCAACCAACGGGAACACCGGGCACTTGTGACCTGAGATATTCAAAGGAGACTTGAGATATTCAAGGGGTTCAAAGAGGTTGGGGGGTCTTTTTTTGGGATCTGGGGTTCTTTTTTGCAAGGATATCTATTTTGTAATTTTTTTTTTCTCAGCATGTGGGAGTACAATATCAAGGTGCCAAGGACGTCAAAGCAGTCAAGGAACCATTCAAATGCGATCTTAGTGAGAAATGCTTTGAAATGATGAAATCACGCAGGTTAGACTTAGTCCACAGGGTGGATCGATGGCTTAAGGATCGCCCATATATGATGTCAAAGGGTATACAGAGGGGGAAAGAGAAATGGAATTTAGATGATACCAGGATATTCAGATATTCAGATCAGCTCCAGGATTATAATCAGCTCTTATAGACATATCGATAGGTCTCACAAAAATCATGCATCTGTCCTATCTTCAATAGAGAATGCTTGGCTAAAAGCATAGTACATATGGAGTACAGGTTCGAGAAAACATAGAGTATCAAACTCTACTCAATCTCACCCCCTGTGCGATATCCTCATAGCCGTGGGTTTCCCATAGTAGGATCAATCTACCTCAGTTCCAGGCATGGCTCAACAAAAGTACACATAATCGAACTCAGCCTCCATATTGGAGACTTGTGTGACCTGAATCTCACCGCTCGGGCTGATCCATACTCGGCATCCTTGGCAACTTTCGACACAACAGATTGATCTCCGACCAACTGTAGACGTCTGTTGCTGCACGATCTCCGCTGCCGTAAGCCCCGAAATGGTACTCCGTACTCCGTACATATCCCATGGTCAGGTGTGGAATCCTTGGCGCTTGGCGGTAACGCAGGGGGGTATCACAGATGCCCAGATAGCCTCCAGGAATATTGGATACAGGTATGAATGGATCGCGAGCAACGCAAAATGTTTCTTATCAGTTGCTCAAGTTCAAGGTCAAGCCAATCAAGCATGCGTATGCCGCAATACTCAGTGCTGTCAAGACCAAGACCGCATTTCCACTGGTACGGAATTTGTGCCGATGGATTCCATCCTCCCCTACTTCGGAGAAGAACTGTCTGTTTCCCTGCGAGCGACGGAAAAGTCCGATGATGAGAACACCCGTGCCGTATATCGCGAACAGGGCCCCAATACTGTAGAACTCGGCGGTGAAAATCTTAAGTACGACGAGGGCGAAGGAGAACTGAGACAAAGCGGTTCGGACATAGGCCCCCTCAAAAGTGCGTTGGGCCGCGCGCACCTCAACCATTTCATCTGAGGTCAGCACTGCCGAGCGAGCTCGGTGCATTCGAAGGCGATAACGATCCCCTGCACGACGCTGAGACAGTCAGACTACATAGGTACAGGAGATATGAAGGATATGGGGTAAACTGGAAACTTCTACACACCTCAAACATTGCGAAATCACCACACTTGAATAGAAAGATGTTAAGAGTGTATTAATAGCAAAATGATATCCGAACTTCATTGAAGGAAGTTGGGTTCCGGAGAGGTGAGAGAGAGAGAGAGTCGTAGAGGGGGTGCGGATGACACCTTAACTCTCACGTGGACTTAATATATGATCTCTAGATATTATATAGTACCTACATCTAAGTATACATATACTCTACTTTCTCTTTAGTTCTCTTCCAAAATCATTTACATTTACATTTACAATTCATATTTTCCACCAATAACGTGGACTCGATTCCAATTTCTCGGTCGGCAATCCAAATCGCCCAACGAGGAAAAAGCGGCTACCGACATTCCCCACACTTTCTCCAAGCTATATCTCCAATTCACTTCTCTCGCCTTTCCTTTCCCGTTTACTCAGTCTCGAATACTCCAGATCGACCCTCCATACACTACCATCCAATTCACTCTTGCGCCGTGAGAATGGCCAAGGTATTCGATGCGACAGAAGGTATGTGTTCTCCGCACCGGTGACCCCCACGCGGGATATTTCGACTGACTGAAGAAATAGTCGCAAAGCACAACACTCCTGAAAGTTGTTGGGTAGTCCTATACGGCAAGGTCTATGATGTACGGTTTCATGCTATAAGATCCTCATTGTGTATTGCATATACCTTCTCCGACCACATCTGACTCCGATCTAGGTCACCGATTTCCTGGGCAGCCACCCTGGTGGTGCAAAGATTATTTTGAAACTTGCTGGCCAGGATGCCACCGAGGAGTATGATCCTATTCACCCACCAGGCACGTTAGAGGAGGGACTTAAGCCCGAGGCATGCTTAGGAACAATTGATGCCAGCACCTTACCAAAGGAGGAGGCATCCTCCGTACCTCAGGAAGAGATTGAGGGTCCACCGCCTATGGAGAATATCCTCAACTTGGACGAGATTGAGGAGGTTGCTACTAAGCAAGTGAGCAAGAAGGCTTGGGCGTACTATTACTCCGCATCGGACGACAAAATCAGCAAAAACTTCAATAATGAGGTTTACCGGTCTATTCTCTTGCGACCTAGAGTCTTTGTGGATTGCACAAAGTGTGAGCTAAACACAACTGTCCTTGACTATAAACTACAGACGCCTGTTTACGTGTCTCCCGCAGCGATGGCCCGTCTAGGTCACCCATCTGGTGAGGCCGGCATCGCAGAAGCATGTCGTAGCTTTGGAGCCATGCAAATCATCTCCAATAACGCTTCCATGACACCAGAGCAGATTGTCAAAGACGCTGCTCCTGATCAAATCTTCGGCTGGCAGCTTTATGTACAGATTGACCGTAAAAAGAGTGAGACTATGCTTGCACGCATCAATAAGCTCAAGGCGATCAAGTTCATTGTCCTTACCCTCGACGCCCCGGTTCCAGGAAAACGCGAGGAGGATGAGCGAACTGGTATGACCGGACGGACCGCCGCCGTGCCCAGCGGCGTGAAAGCCGCCGAACGCTCGTCGGATGATACCCCAAACCCAACCCAAGGATCTGGAGGTGTCGGCCAGCAATTGTTCGCAGGCACCGATCCTTCCCTGACATGGACGACGACTTTGGCTTGGCTTGCCACTCAGACAGATCTTCCTATTGTCTTGAAGGGTCTGCAGACTCACGAAGACGCATACCTTGCCTCACTCCACGCACCTCAAGTTAAAGGTATCATTCTCTCTAATCACGGGGGACGTGCCGCGGACACTGCTCCTCCGGCGGTTCACACTCTCTTGGAGATTCGGAAATACTGCCCCGAGGTCTTTGACAAAATCGAAGTGTATGTGGATGGAGGTATTCGTCGTGGCACAGATGTCGTCAAGGCTCTCTGCCTAGGCGCGAAAGCAGTTGGGCTTGGACGCCCGGCTCTGTGGGGCTTAGCGGCGGGTGGAGTCGACGGTGTTCGTCGAACATTGCAGAGTAAGTTGACTGGGTATTTGATCTGTTACTATTTCTAACTCTGTGGTAGTTCTGAACGATGAAATCAAGACATGTATGCGGCTGCTTGGAGTGGAGCGAATTGATCAATTAGGGCTCCAACATGTGAGTATCCTCTCATCACTTCCTCTTTTGGCCTACTAACTCTTCTGTTAGATCAACACTCGCGTTACTGAACAGCAGATCTACGATGGTCCTACTGGTCTGGATGCCTTACGGCGCGCATTCCGTGCGAGACTGTAGGGGGAGCACCCAACGTTATATACTTTGAATGTAGAATGTGTTTATCTCGAATATAATCTGACCTGGATTCTTACACCTTTACCCATTCTCCAGTAATGTTTCCAAAAACTTATCCTGTTGGCCATTGGCCCACCCATCCCATCTCCAAAAGAAAACTCGAAAAACAAAAAAATAGTTTCCCTGGGAATCGAACCCAGAACCTTTCCGGAACATTTGCTGAAAGCATTTGTTAACGGAAAATCATAACCGCTAGACCAGGAAACTAGTTGATGTAGAACAATGCCTTTTACAGCATTATGGAAAACAATTCAGTTTGATGAGATTAAATATAATCTCGTCTATTATTAAATTATTTATAGAACCGGACCGTTAGTAATATCCACAGGTACTTATATGTTCCCCCGCATCTTACAGACTGTTTCCCTTTCATAAGAGATATTACAATGGCAAACATACTGCAATGGTTTCCTACAACCGCTCCATTCATCGCTAATGCCCCAATGTTTGGATTTGCCGATGTCAGCCTGGCAACTGCTGTCACAAAGGCCGGAGGATTCGGTACGATAAACCTACCTGGTTGCAGACATTAGACTGATCATCTATAGGATTCATTGGCGGAGGCTTTGATTTCCGATCGGAATCTACCCAGCTTCAAAGCCTAGATACTCAATTGGCGAATGCCCGTTCTACCTTTGGTTTGACCGATGATCAACCATTACCGCTTGGTGTCGGTTTCATTACTTTCCAGCCAGACGGGCTCATTGACAATGCTATTCCCGTGCTCCAGAAGCACCGAGTAGCAGCAGTCTGGTTGTCCTTTCCTCGAGCTGACGCTGACCATCTTCCAATCATACAAGCCATTCGGAAGACCCAGGGGATTGACTGGGATATCAAGATATTTGTCCAGGTAGGAACTGTCAAAGCTGCAGAAGAAGCACTTCAGCAGGGAGTGGATGTCCTGGTGGTTCAAGGAACCGATGCAGGGGGACATCAGTGGGCCCAGGGTGCTAGTTTGATATCACTATTGCCTGAGGTGCGAGATCTTCTATCGAAGGCTCAGAATACAACTACTGCTATCTTAGCAGCCGGTGGCATTGTGGATGGCAGGGGCTGTGTTGCAGCTCTTGGCCTAGGTGGGTTCTTCCGTACTTCGTTGTTGCAGCTGATTGACAAAGATAGGTGCCGATGGGATTGTCATGGGTACAAGGGTAAGGCTGCTTCTTCTCGTATACAGGGATCCTTGCTAATCGAGTCCAGTTTGTTGCAACCTCGGAATGCCCTGCGCCGTCTACGATTAAACAGACCATTGTATCGAGGAGCGACGGCGGACTCTCAACCATCAAGTCCATCCGACATGACGTATTCCAGTCAACCGATGTCTTTCCGAGGCAGTATGATGGCAGGGCTATTATCGGTGTTAATTACGAGGATTCCCAGGAGGGGATCAGTGACGAGGAAATCATTCGACGATACAATGAGGCTAGAGAGGCTGGCGAACATCAACGGAGGACTGTATGGGCGTGAGTATCCCGTATCTATATTTTATATATCTCTTGGACTTTCTGTATTAATGGTTACAATAGGGGCGCGAGTGTTGGAAGTATCAATGCGGTAGTCTCTGTTAATCATGTCATAAGATCTACTCGGCAGGAGGTGAAGGTGGTGTTGGAGCGATTGAAGGCTGGGCTTTAGCTTTATATGCCTGGTATCTTGTTCTATTTCTTCAAGATGTTTCTTTTATGGTATTAAACAAGATATTGGTCTCACGATGCAATATATATATATATAAATATATAAATATATATGATATTTAGAACCAGCACAAACATACATAGAAAAAAAAGGTCAATCCGAATAATTAGTAAATTAGACATAATGTCCTTTTCCCTCAAATTTAGAAATTGTTAGATCAATCTCAAGCGCTGGCAACAGGCCGAATGGAATATCCCCCCCCCCCTTCCACCCCTCTTTATTTCTCTCTCAATTCTCAATTCCTCGACCTTCGACCTTCTTTACTTCTCGTTTTTCTCTCCCACAATTATAAACACGTTAGGAAAAGCAAGATTCACGGCCGTGTTTGGTCAGCCTTGAAGTTGGGACCTTGGTGTTCCCTTCTGAGCTGCCCGCGATTGATTCGATTGATTCCTGTCCGCCCAGCCACGAATACAAATCGTGAATTTCTAACTGAGATCCGGAAGAGCCCATTCCATACTATTACCACCCTCACAACCCTCGAATTGACCCCTAACGATCAACCAACCGCGATGAATAAGACTACACCTTCGCCGAGCCCCGTCCCCAAAGCTTCGCCAGGCTCGAAACCCTCTCCCTCGCCGGCCGCAGGCACAAAGCGCAAGAGAAATGCCGCGGCCAAATATTATGCTGTAAAGGCGGGTCACAAACCTGGTATCTACTATGGGTGGGATGAATGTCTGGCGCAAATAACGGGATTTAAAGGAGCGATTTGTGAGTGCACCTCTCGCAGTGGTTCTTCCAATAGGCGCGCCAATTTAACCAGAGACTGACTCATAAGCTTTTTAGTCCAATCGTTTCCCTCACAAGAAGAGGCCAACGCGTTTTTGAACGGTATTAAGCTCCCTGCCGCGTCGCAGAGCTCGGAGAACGCACGATTCTATGGAATCCAAAGGGGCCGGGTTACTGGAGTATACACAGACTGGACAACGGCACAGGAGCAGATTCGTGGGTTCCCGCGACCTCGATATCGCAAGTTCTCCACTCGCGAAGAGGCAGAGGAGTTTGTACGGGAAGGACAGACCCAACCCCCAGTCGGGTTCGGCGCGGCAACTGGGCCTTCGGGGCCTCATGGGATAACGACCGAAAAACCGAAAGATGCAGAAGGGGTCGAGTTTGCACCAGGTGACGGACCATTGCCGACAGGAGCCGAGGATGGGTTTGACCCCAACGTCCTCCTAGACCCAGCCACTGGCAAGGTGGTGTACAAGACTGCCCCCCAGATGGCAGCGACAAAAACACAATCAACAGGTATCCCAGGGATGCTCCGGATATACACAGATGGGAGTTCATTAAGAAATGGCACCCCATTAGCATCGGCCGGTGTAGGGGTGTTCTTCGGGCCTGGGGATTCAAGGTTCGTACATTCGCCCGTTGGGCTACTGTCTAACCACGCCTTCTAACTTCCGTCACTTATCCCAGCAGAAACGTATCGGAGCCACTAAAAGGCAGTCGTCAAACGAACCAGCGCGCTGAATTGACCGCGATCCTTCGGGCGATTGATATTGCCCCTCGGCATCGAGATGTAACCATAATCACCGACAGCCGATATTCGATTGACTGCGTTACTGTATGGTTTATCAACTGGCGTCGCAACAATTGGATGACTCGGGACAAGAAGCCGGTTGAGAACAAGGATCTGGTTGAGTCGATTCTGATCAAAATCGAAGAACGCAATGACCTCAAGGTGAAGACCTTGTTTGAATGGGTTAAAGGTCACAATAAAGACCCTGGCAATGAAGAGGCCGATAAATTAGCCGTCAATGGAGCCCAAAGGGGGTATCTGCTAAGGCAGAGGCGCTACATGTGGCCCAAGAGGTGCCTGATGAAGTGTTTGAAGATTTTTAAACATTTTCAAAAATAAAGAGAACATTTTGCATCTAATGGAATAAATAGTAATGTCTAGTAAATAAGTACATGTAGTTTCTGTACGGAGTATGGAGTACATCGTAAAGTGTCAGATGCCAAGACCACTAGGATATTTCCCACAACCTCGAGAGATCTCCCCGAGGTCCTCTTCCTCTCTTATCTTCACATCTTCACCTCTCTATAGGCTTCTACAAATGCTCTTTGCTTTCCTATACACCCAGATGATCTTGCCTACAATTACACAAGAAATTCAAACTATGATTCAATAACACTTGCTTGTACTTCAACCTTGACAAACATTTATCTAAGACTTTAGATCTCACCGATCTGACTGCTTTTGAATTCGACCTACTTTGGTTGATATATTTGGGCCTTCATCGCCCTTAAGTACAACTCAGAACATTTGAAGAGCATCGAGAAGACCAAAATGCCGACACTCGCCTTGATCAACTTCAACATCGTCTGTGCGACGCTTGGAGGGTTTATTTCCCTCTTTGGGCTAGTATCGTACCTTTGCAAGGAGAAGTTCTACCTATCCGAAGCATGCAAGTGCAATGCCCTTGGTTGTATCACCACCCTTGCTAACAGGAAATAGTAATCTCCCTGCTAGCCGGAGTGTTATTCTCTCCCCATGCAGCCAATTTCATCAGACCAGAAGACTATGCACTACACTCCGAACAAAACCTCGAGGCAATCACTTTGCATTTTACCCGCCTAGTGCTAGGCGTACAACTAGTCCTAGCCGGAGTCCAACTCCCAAAGCGGTACCTGCAGATCGAATGGCGAAGCCTAGGGCTACTCCTTGGACCAGGCATGGCTGCCATGTGGATGTGCAGTAGCCTAGTGATCTGGGCCATGGTTCCGAACTTCAAGTTCCTCCATGCCCTGATCATCGGCGCATGTGTGACCCCAACCGATCCCGTTCTGTCCAATTCCATTGTCAAGGGCAAATTTGCCGACAAGCATGTTCCCCGTGAGTTGCAGAGGATTATTATCGCTGAATCTGGGGCCAATGATGGCCTTGGCTACCCGTTCCTTTTCTTTGCGATCTATCTCGTCCAGTATACTGGGATTGGAAGCCAGAGCTATAGCGGTGGCGCGGGGAAGGCGATGGCGTTGTGGTTCTATGAGACCTGGGTATATACCATTCTTTTGAGTGTGGTCTATGGGACTCTGGTCGGTTGGATTGCGAGGAAGTTGTTGCACTGGGCAGAGGAGAAGCGCTATGTTGACCGGGAGAGCTTTTTGGTGTTTGCCATTGCTCTTGCAGTGAGTGTACCTCAAAGCTTTTTTTTTTAAAAAAAAGGTGCTTTGCTGATTTTTCAAATAGCTGTTTATCGTGGGCACCTGTGGTTTGATTGGGACAGATGATCTTCTTGCCTGTTTCATTGCTGGAAACGTATTCACACAAGAGTAGGTCATTCCGACGCGGGCTATGATAACACGAATGCTAACAGAAACAGTGACTGGTTCCGCCTTGAAACCATGGACGATTCCCTCCAACCGACCATCGATATGCTTCTCAACCTATCTGTCTTCATGTGGTTCGGAGCGGTCTGCCCATGGTCATCCTTCCTGAACAACAGCGTGATTCCAATCCATCGGCTCATCTTCCTGGGAATATTGGTCCTCCTAGTCCGCCGCCTCCCGATCGTCTTCGCCATGCACAAATGGATCCCTCAAATCGAGCTTGTCTCCCAGGCTGCATTCGTCGGCTTCTTCGGTCCCATCGGAGTGGGCGCCATCTTCTACCTATCAGTCAGCCTTGAATTCCTGCGTAAGATACAAGTGGATGGCGAAGTCCCAGAAGACGTAAAGCAAATCATGGAGACCATCCAGGTCGTGGTATGGTTCCTAGTAGTTTGCAGTATTGTGAGTTCTCTCCCCAAATAACCAAATCCTCACATCCTCTCATTTTTATTCATCTTCTGACCAAACCCAGGTTGTGCATGGCCTCTCAGTCCCCATTGGAAAGGCTGGCTATAACCTCCCTGCAACCATCTCCAGCGTCATCAGCACCAGCGCATACGAGGGGCCCGAACCGGTCCCCATCTCCAACACCAGCCACACACATAGCACGGCCACGCCTCTCACAACGGGGGAGGATGCGAGTTACCGCAGCCGCAAGCGTGGGTTCCGGGGTGCAAACCTTCGCCCGCCATTCTTTGGCATTGGTGGTTCGGTGATCCGTCCTCGTTCGCCGTCCCACCAGCCTGGCGTGGGTCAGCCTGATGAGCCGGAGAGACCTGTTCACCTGGTCCAGCCCAGTGAACCAGAGAGACCCATTAACGTGGGCATCGATCAGACTAGAGGCGGGGATAACAAGCCCTAGCCTTAGTTGCACCTGGGGATTTGATTGATCCAGGCGGGCTATGCTTTGCTTTGATTGGAATCCAATTGCTTGATTAGCGGAGCAGATACTGTGTGGGTCATCATATCCCTTGCTTTGATTGCCAATTTTAGACAGCATGCATAAGCATCTTATTTCCATGGTTTATTTCAACAGCATCATCGGGGTTTTTCCTATGGGTCTGCATATTTAGCCGTCTCAATATGTGCTGGACTCGGCTTTGTTTATATTGATTTATTCAAAATGTGTACATAGTCATTAATCCCAGTCAAATATCTACCCAACTCCCTCGAATCATATTGATATCTTGAATTCCTTCACTTCTTCTGTGCCAATATTACCACCGGCGACCAGTTGTAAATACAGCTCTTTGTGTTTTGTGATAGTAGATAGAGGGCTACCTCTTGCTCGGTACTAGAAAACAGCATATCATGGGCAAGTGATCTCTTGATCCCCTGAAGGATTTCACGGAGAGCTATCAAATACGTGTTTGTGCATAGTTGTACCAACTCAGGTCTAAAACAACCTATTTCCGATTGGATAATATCAAAATTTGGTTGCAAGTGGCTTGGTAAGTTCGAAACCCAACTATATAGATTAATTAATAACTCCGTCTTGGGAATAACAAAGCAACACACCTATAGTCAAGATTGGCTTTTTTGAATAGTTCATTGATGTTCCGTTCAAACTCTTCTGCTTTCGCACCCTTGATATGCTGGTGTACCAAGTCAGCATCTTCCCATTGTAGATAACCCCCAGGTTCTTCAGAATTGTCAGCCTAAGACCATGGGGTGTTTGTAAAAAGTGGTCTTACTTAATAGATGTTTGATGTGACGGGACAATGATGATATATCATTTCCTCGTAAATTGCTAGCCCACATTCTTAGATGCACCACGTCATATTGACCATATAAAGACACAGGCGGATCAACCAAAGAGTCTAGAAGCCCCAACGTAACATTCCGAGGCCATAGCTCCTTTGATGGAAACTGACTGTCGGAAATATCAAACCCGTCTAGGTGAACTGTCGGAAGCTGTGTTGCAAGGTCAAATATCCAGATGCTATGAAACGAGAGAAGTTGGTACCGATTTCAAAGATATATAGGTATAAAAACGCTTACGCTGTTCCAGTCCCAAGATCCGCAATCCTCATGTTCTCCATTATGGGAATATTAGGAAGTAACGTGAAGCCAGTATGGAGCTTCCAAAGCAGATGCTGTGCGTCTAACCTGCTCCTCATTAGCATTTCGGTTTTGATTTTCGGTTCAAGCTCACCTAACCGAGTCTTCAATAGTTCGACCTAGAATATATCCATCTTCAGTCATGTTGTAGATGAGCAGAAAGTTGAGGGCTAGAAGTTGGATTTATGGCTTGATGAAATGCCTTCTATATGAGGAAAGCAATGTTACACGAAGTGACATTTCAGGCTACGGGTGAGGGTAGGTCACCAGGTTGTAATTACTAGTATTACTAGTAAGCTATTACTATTAGGTATTTACTCGTGATTACTAGTAAGCCACATTATTATCAGGTATTTACTCGTGATTACTAGTAACTGCTTACTAGTAATTACTAACTAGTTAGTTAACTGGTGAGAAAAACCTTGGAATGCCTTGGGATCCCTAGTGTATATATTGTTATATTTTATATATTTAAACCTGAATCCTATTTTAACCTGAAATGTCTTCTCAAATGGTCACCTTCACCAACCAAGCCGATGTCTTGGAAACTGTCGTCGAAGTGCTATCAAAACACCAAAACGATGACTATTATGCATATGAGCGCGGGGAACATTGGTATATTGGCATTGGAAGTCGGTCATCGTTGGTGATTGACTCCAAAGGACAGACTGCGACGGTCAAAAGTGCATCTGGTCAAGCAACGCGCTCCATTGATGGAGCCTCAATTGCCCATATCGCGAGAGAATTCAGTACTCTCAACCTGAAAAGTGGGTTCAGGATATTTGGCCAAGCTGGATTCAACTACGCTGCACATATTCTTGGACAAAAATACGCATCTGGCAACTGGCCTCTTTTAGCCTTGCTTGTTCCACGACTCGAAATTGTTCTTCACCGGCATATGATCACCCTAAAAGGAGTCGACGAAGAAGTGAAAGCTCTCTATGACTCGATCCAGAACAACACTGGTGTCTCTACCTTTCAAAATGTCCAATGCATCCACACTGAAGATGAAGGGAATTACATCGCGAGGGTCGAGAATGCTCTCTCTGATATATCTGCAGGCTATTATACCAAAGTGATTCCATCCCGCACAGTGGAAATCCCATACAAGGTCAATATGTTAGCTACACTTCTCCGAGGCCGGCGTTCCAATAATCCTGCACGAAGTTTCTCCTTGAATCACGCAGGCTACCAGGCTACAGGGTTGAGCCCCGAGCTGGTGGTATCAGTGAATAATAGAAGGGTAACGACAGAGCCACTGGCTGGCACCCGATCAGGCCTAGGAAGCAAAGAACAAGTCGAGAAGCTACGAGAAGAACTCCTAAACGACCCGAAAGAGATCGTGGAGCATGTGATATCAGTAAAAGAGACCATCACCGAGCTCCAACAGCTTTGCCCACAGGGTACAGTCAAAGTTGAAGATCTGATGTCAATTCGGGCGCGTGGGTCTGTACAGCATTTAGGGTCCCGTGTTACTGGGATTCTATCACCCGAGAAAGATATGTGGGATGCATTTGATGTCGTATTTCCATCAATCACCGCATCTGGTATCCCAAAGCACGCGGCCCTCGAAGCTATTCAGCGCCTGGAGGATCAACCGAGAGAGCTGTATTCTGGCGCTGTCATCATGATCGAAGATTTAGAATCATTTGAAGCTGCACTTGTCTTGCGTACTGTCTTTCAGGATCAAAATCGTACTTGGATCCAAGCTGGAGCTGGTGTCATCTCTCAGTCCAACCCACAGCGCGAACTGATGGAGACTCATGAGAAGTTGGCAAGCATTGCACCATTTGTCACTCCGGATGGTTCAGATTGAATCTCATTCACAGCAACTGATCCAGTTTTGTCTCTAAGTACATAATGAATGGTTCCGTGGAATTTAGGACTCATATCAAGTGATATCGAGAATTGGGAGTTGAAAGCATCGATAGCCACTTAATTTGAGTGATCCCATAGAGTCTCATAATAACACCATGCCATATGGAAACCCGAGAGTACAGGAAATAGATACAAGAGAGACGCAAAGCTTTACAAGCCTTAGACCCACGCCATGCCCCAACCACAGAAGATCTCAGCAGAATAGCAAATACAGTGTGCATTGGTATCAAATGTGCCCGGACATCCGTTTTCTATGCCCTAACTAAAGGAAACTTCATAACCTCGTCAAGGTGTTTTTGACCTGATAACCAAGATAAACCGTTCCACCCATCCCCGGTAACCAGAGACCCTATTCTCTGATCGAATTCAAGTGTTTTTTTTTTTGGTTTTTGTCATTCCTTCGATATCGTTACACGTCATACTGAAAAGCAAAATGATAACGCCGTTGATGGGTCTGTATCGAGATCGTGAACTCATCGTGATTCCGAATTCATGAACTTGCAAAAAAAAAGTCGAGAAATAAAACGCAATTCAAGACAAGCTAGCGTGCAGTTCGCGGGCACGGCGAGCGAGGGGTGAAATAAGTCGCAGGATTGGGTCGTGCGGATTGCGCTCAACGACTGACATGTACAGGGTATTGAGGCGCTGGCTCATGATGTCCAGAATGCGAGGTGCGACTTCGCGGAGGTCGGTGTCCTAAAAGGAAGAGAGTTAGTGGATAAATTACAAAGAGTCGAGATACAATAATAACATACCCTGGGGTTCACATTTTGGAGGACCACCTCGAGCCAGTGGAGGCGCTGGCCAATGTTGGTCTGCATGGTAGTGGTAACAGCAACGGCCACGGAGAGCATGACGATTGCAGAAAGTCGGGACAAGTAGGTGGGGGATATGTGGACGAAGAAGTTGTCAAACAGGTCAGCTTGCTGGTTAGATTGGAGCCACTAGAAAACTAATGTTAGTAGGAACGTCGAATATATGGAAGTAATTGAAACCAACCTTGATAGTGCCCTGCTCGAAGTGACCAGTATTGATAAGCTGCACAACATCCCCCATTTCGATTTCCTCGGGGGATCTTGCGACAGGGGAAGCGACAGGAACCGGGGCTGGGGCCAGGGCCTGGACCGGGATAACCTGAGGCTGCAGCACAGGCTGAGCCAACGGCTGCGGCATGCGCACGTGGTTCTCACTTGGCTGTCTACCCGAGGAGCGCTTGTTGACGTTCAAGACCTCGCGGTGGGAGTTCCCGTGCTGCGGGCTTTGGCTCTGCTGAATTTGGTGGCCCTGGTGCGCGGCCAGCAAAGAAACCGTCTTGGACAGGCCACGCAGGACTGCTGAAATCTCCTCGATCTTTGCAGTATCACTCTGGCGCTGGGCCTCGTATTGGTTGATCTGCGCCTGGAAGTGGCGTTCCATATCCGACTCCACCTTCTTCGTGGTACGTGCCAAGCTCTCAATCATGGGGGCAATCGAAGACTGCATGACCCGGGTAACTTCGGCCTCAATGCGAGGTGCAAGCTTCTGTGCGACCGAATCGGAGACAGCCTTCACCACAGGCGGCTGCTGCATAGCATTGATAACAGCCTTGGGAAGAACCTGTCGCAACTCCTCATTGAACGCGCCTCCAAGCTGTTGAGAGACAGCGCCGTTCAGTTGCTTGTTGACTGCTGCAGAAGTGGCATCGGCGATGACAGGAATGACATCAGTCTGGATACTGGCTGAAACAATGCGCGCCAAGTTCTTCTCGACGTTGTCAGAGAGTGTGCTAGAGACCAGGCGCAACACTTGGTCTTGCTTGGCCGACGAGGCAGCATCCCAGCTGCGACGTTCATCGTCGAAGCGACGATGGAGGTTCTCAAACTCATGGCCAAGACTCTTGTTGAACTCGCTTGAAACACTGCCTTGCAGGGTCTGGATGTGTTTATTAAAAGCTTCACTCGAGAAACCGAAAGCAGGCACCGCGTGCTCGGCAGCCTGAGTCGCACCCATCGCCGCAGTAGAAGAGGCAAGAGTCTCGAATTCCTTGGCAGCGGCGGAGGGGACTGGCAGAGACTCGACACCGGCAGTGACAGTTGGCTCCTTTGCCTTCACAGCTTCGGCGGCGGCAGCAGCAGCAGCCTTCTTCTTCTTTTTCTTTTCAGACTTCTCAGCAACCACAGGTGCCGCTGATGGCTCACTGGACTCTTCCTTCTTCTTGGCTAACTTGGTAGGCGAAGCGTTACGCGAAGGAGCAACTCCAGAGGCCAACTCTCCAATCTCTGGCTTTTTCGCCGATTCCTTGGGACCAACGCGAGACTGGATGGAGGCTGTATCGCCGTTGACAGATGGATCATCGGTGGCGTATGTGGGGAAAGTTTGGAGATCGCTGATTTCAATCAAGCCGTGCTCCATTGCATCAACAGGGCGAATAACCTTGTTATCCGCAGTCCAGCCCAAATCCTCCTTCTTGATGTTCAAGCAGGTCACACCGCGCGAGTGCATAACATAAAGCTCGAACAGGGGATTTTCCTCAGTGCCGCGCTTGTCAGTAGCGGACTTGGTGATAGGGAGAAGCTCCAGGCTTCTCAGCTGACCCTTGGAACCGAGAGAGATCTCCCGAATTCCACTCAAGCAAGCAGTAGACTCGGGCTTGGGTAGGGTGTTGTCCTTATCGTTGAGGTCTCGGATGTAGGCTGCCTGTGACATCTGGGGCAAATTGTACCGAGGAGCTGAAAGATGAGCAAAGTAGATAGAGTTACGCGTGGGATGTCCAACGACAATGACACCTGATGATGGGTGATAAGCCACGCTGCAGATAGCATCAGACTCGTTCTCGTGCGGGAACTTCAACTCCTGCACGGCCTTGCCCAGCCCAATATCCCAAAGCTGCAAGGTGTGGTTTTGCTTGAGTCCAACCAAAACATAACGGAGTGCCATAGATCGGGAATAAGCGCGAAGCTTATCGAGGAAGAGGACTGAAGTGGGCCAAGACTTTTCAGTTGGGGAGCCAGTGACAAAGGTAGTCAAGGGAACCCGGATCTCGGCAGGAGCAGGGCCTTCCACAAAGCTCGCATCGTTCAGCATATCATTTATATCCCAGAAGCGCAATCGGCCAGTCTTGTCCAAGGAGGCGATGACGGAATCATCATCACTGAAAGCGAAGTCTTTGCCGGCTTTACCAGTAGAGATCTTCAATGCACGCTCTTTGAAGAATTTCTCGGTGTTGACTGTACGCTGAGTACCAGAAACGCCGTAGGCAGGGTTCATTGCTGCCTTTGGCGAAACAATATAGATATTCTTGCCCCGGCCAATGGCAAACAAGTTGGTGTGACGAGTGCTCCGCTTGGCCCGCGTTTTCAGCTGGCCACCGGAGGTGTTCTCGTCTGAGGCCGGGAAAGGTGGGAAGATCAAGCTTTCGCTTTCCAAGGCATCCATATCAAAGAAATCCTTTCCAGAACGCGAGATCAAAGCCCAGTATACAGAGCCGCTGACTCCGATGCCGAGGATGGCCTGGACTTCAGAGTCACCAGCCGCAGAAGGAGCTGTGCACAGGGCAACATTGAACACTCGATCACGGGTGGAGCGGAACACCTGTCGGTCACTACCGTCATCCTGTCGAATGATTCTGATTCCACCGGTTTTGGCGAGCGCGTACACGATGTATTCGGATGTAGCCGCAGTCAACGAGCGGTCAAGCTGATCGAACTCCTTCTTCAGACGAGCAATATCCATGACATCATCATCACGGAAGGTTGTAAGTTTTCCAGACGTAGCTTTCACAGCAATGGAGATGAAGGGCCTCATTGGGAAGTTGTGAACAGAGACAACTCGTTCTTCTTCCTTTTCGGCGCTGTCTTCCGCACTCTCCCAGCTGTCAGCCAGAGCCTCAGTGTTGTCAGTCGCCTTCGGGGCAACTGGAATCGCTGAAGGTTCGACCTCCTTCACGAGCTCATCAACGTTAGCCAAGCTTGCCGCTTCTATAGCTTCAGCAGCAGTCTCGCGCAAATGACTAGCGATCGAGGAAAGAACTGCTTCAGAGGATTCCTCCCGGACACTAGAAACAGCAGCCTTGGCTTCGGTTGCAGCCTGAGGTTCGTCGCCACTGAGAGAGCGGCCAATTTCATCTACGAGACGACCGACGACTTCATGCACAGCGTCTTTCTGACCTTCATTCAAGATTGGAGACTGGGTCCTCTCCCTGGTGGCCGCAAGCTCGGGTCTCTGGGAAGGCTCCAGCTTAGCAGAAACATTGATCTTTTGCTTCTGAGTAACTTCGACAGCTGGACTTTGGAAGCCAGAGGTAGGCTGGGGAGACTTGTTAACAGGAGAGATAGCGGCCAATTGGTCAAACGGATTGACATAGGTGAACATTGAATCCTTTGAGTTGGGCGATACGACCGTTTCCGGGTTCGCAGGCACCTTAGGACTCTCATCCACAACTTCCATGAAGACATTCTTGGCTATCTGGTTCTGATTTTCATCAACGACAGCCTGCATATATGGTGCCTGTTGAGTTGAAGCCAGCGCCGGTGATTCAGCGACAGCAGGACCTGGCTGAGAACGGTTGAGCAGGCGAAGTAACATATCCTGTGTGTTCTCATTGGGGCCCTCGGGCTGACCAGAGTGGAATGCTGGGGGATGACCAGCGGGCGCGGTCGCAGGGGCAGCAGGGGCCTGTTGACCGAACAGAGTAGCAACCAAGTCAGACGCGGAAATATTTCGTCCGTGCGACGCAGGAGCTCCCTGGGCCGGCGGAGACTGCAAGTGCTCGGGAGCTGCAGCGGGGGCTTGCGGCTGAGGGGAAGCACCGGGACGCTGGCTGAATCTGAGAAGATTCAAAAGGTCCACAGAGCCTGGGTTGGTGTGCTGCGGTTGCGGCTGCGGCTGCTGGGGCCATTCGCCCCGAGGAGAAGGCATGTTAGGGCTCAAGATATCAGAGCCCTGGTGAGGGGGAGCATTCATTGAGGCAGGACTTTGGATAGTCGAGGATACCGAGGGATGTTCGTAGCCATGTGACTGGGGATGAGGGTAGCTCTGGCCATCGTAAGGTTGCTGCTGCTGAGGGTGCGGCGGGAACAGACCGGGCTGGTAATACGATTGGCGCTGCGCCTGAGGGTTATCCTGGCCAGGAGTGTTCGAAGGAGAAGGACGAGGCCGGATACTGGCTAAGAGAGCCTGGAGATCGGTGGGGGTGGACATTTCTGCCGTTACGCCGTGGTTATAGGCGACCTCCGCCGATAGGATCCAAGCTTTGCAGAGCTCTCAGAAGCTCTCTTTCGAGAGGGACAGAGTATGAAATTGGAAATCAGAAAGGCTAGAAAGGGCGACAAAAGAGCAAATCAGAGATAGGTGCGAGAAAAGAGAGATGGAATTGAAGAACGTGGTGAAGTAGAGAGGAAGGGTGAGGGAGAGAAGAACTCTCGGTAATATTGTTCAAGCCGTGGGTGTGGCTGAGGCTGCCGAGTTTGTGGCGGAATGTGGCTAGTGTTACTTCTTGCCCGACTCGCGTCATTAGTGAATCAGATTACTTTTTCTTCCTTTAGCCCACTTTCACTTGCCGGGTTCGAAGGTGGCGAGCTTATTAGACTATCAGAGTATTTTAATTACTTTCAACGACGCTTTTGTCCATCTGTCTATCCCCTTCCGGCAGAAGGCCAGCGCCCGCAAGCCCCATCATGTTCTGTCTACGAAGGTAAGAGAAGCAAGCAACCAGCAACCAGCAACCAGCAACGAAGTAGGGGATTGAGACTAACCCCGATGACGCATACTGTAGCTGGCTGCCTCTCCTCTTCATCCCGACCAACGCCTCCCCAATCTTCATCATCTCGTTTGTTGCCTTGACATACATCATTCACCGGCCATGTGTCTACTGCTCCGCATTACTCTTGATCCTCTTCGTCTCGTCATGTCATTGGTCAGACCGATGCATCTTTGACCTACGGAGTAATTGGTTTGCACCACGCTATACTTCAGGACCTGGCGATTATGCCCTTTCAGGCAACACAACCTCCGAAGCAACGGTGTCTGGCGAGGGCCTGACGGAATTTGTTTTCGATACTATGAACTCCACTGCCAAAGCCTTGACTGGTGCTGCATTTGAAGGCATCCAGCAACGAATCTCCCCCAATGGAATGGAATCAAGGCCCAACGAGTGGACAGGAGTTGGGTTGGAGTGGATGCGCAGCCTCTTGGGGAGACGGGAGTGGACTCTTCCATGTGTTGATGTTAAAGTTCGACTATGAAGTGTGCGAAAAGTTTGATTTGGCATCCTTCTTCTGTTGATGTATTCAAATGAGCTTCTGATTTCATATACATTATTATTTACGACTGTTTTTAGTTCATGTGCAGATCTCAATCCTCCCTTGAACACTTATGAACAACCATTGTACCTAAACCATTCTATAGTAATGTGTCAATCATTCAATGCCTTTTTGTTAGAGAAATAGATTCTCTTGCTGTTGTAACTCAAGTGGTAACGATATACAACATAATGCGATAATTGACTTGAAGGGGAAGACGCCGTTTAGCCTTAGCCCAACACCCATATCTCCCTCATACTAAGTTGAACATTCCAACACTGATAAGGACGAAAATAGCAGAAAGGCAGCTAGAATTTCTACGGAAATGAGACCGCTACATGCACTGAGGACTGACAGGAAGCTTGAACTAAAACAAGCAACGACAATATCCCCATTATCATGTGGCCCTCAGCCGCATGGCGATTATTTAGAAGAAGGCTTATCGCCGCCATTATTTGAGGCCGGACAGATACCGAGTGCAACAAGCATATTGTTAAGCGTTGGATAACAAGCAACACACGAGCAGAGCTAGACTCAGCTATTAGGTTTTGTTTTCAAAGAAAGCTCGGTGAAGACAGAAGAATGTACCTGACTCATAGAAGTTGTTAAACACTTCTGCAGAGCAACCGGATCACCATTGGTAAGAGCATTAGCAATGCACGTAAGCTGGGCGGTCAAGTTAAGACAAGCAGCGACACTACACGCCTCTGGGAGCTGCCGGACAATCTCTAGATTTTGTTGCCGAACTATATGTATGCCTCGTATTAGTACCCAAATTGCATTCGAAGAATTGAGGTTATAGAAAGGGATATGTACAGGAGGGTTGGGTATGTGTCTTATTGGCCACAGCAGCTATTCCTGCAGCTGAGGTCAACCCCGAGGCGAGGACGAGAGCGGCGATGTTGAAGCGCATATTCGAGACCGTTTGGGGATAATTGAAAACTAAGAAGGATAGCTTCAAATGTGGTATCTATGGTTATAAAGAGGGCAAGGTTACGCCATTGTTGAATTATATAGCTGTTTATCATATACACCGAAATTTTAGAGTTGCTCGCAGCAAAAGAGATGAACAGCAAGTCCACAGCACGAATGTCACATTGGTGGCCGATTGGTAGATGGGCATACGGAGCGAAGTGTAAAGTAGCTTGTCCAGGTGGTCACACTGAGTCGCATTAGAAGACTTGTCTTTCCCCAATTTCAGTATCGAGGTAGGTAGGTAGCATTAGATACTACCTCCCAAATATAAGAGACTTGAAGGGCGTTTACACAAAAGCTCTCCTATGACTGATTTGGTCTGGGAGGTGGGGATCGGATCTTTTAGTTAGAATTAAACAACTTGGAAAAAGTGAGATAGCTAAAGTCGATTATTTGACATGGGTTACACTAAGTACATGGCGAGGTATCTGTCATAAAACAAAATAACGGATAAACGCCGACGGGGAAGTGGTTGACCAGTAGTGGGACTGGCAGATCGAATCTCCCGCAAGTAGATTCATAAAACATAGATGGGCTGGAACGAGTCATAACGCAAGGCATGTTAACCACCGTAAAGGCAAGAAATGGCAGGTGAATCATGAAACACGACTCAAGGAAATGGGGTATCACAACGTCGACACTCCCAGTTCAAGATCTAGATTCGTAAACAAGCGTGAAGAAAGTAATGTATGGCTGAAGAATAATTAGAGACGTTAAAATCCGCAAGAAACTGACGAGGCAAAGTCATAGATAACGCAAATGGCATAATTATCAGATCAGTTGTAACCACCGCCACCCACGGGCAGAGGCCAGTCGTCTTCAGTGATACTGCTCCAGAAGGCCCAGACCCCAGTGACAGAAAGGAGAGTGAAGAGAGTTTCGAATAAAGCTCCATTGATCTTGCCATCCGAGGCCTGGCACAGGTGGGTGCTGATCACATAATTGAAGATCTGACCAATTGCGAACAACAAGCCAGCACCGGTGAGATACACTGTTGCATCGTTAGCATGTGTTTATTTTGAGTCCAGCGTGGTGTACTTACGCATTGGTCGGAACTCGCCCAGGACCCGGAGCACTAGTACGGCTTCCAGGAGGTAGAACAAGACAAGGCAAACGAGTGGGAAGAGTTGGTACAGAACATAAAGGGCGATGTTGCGATTTGGTGGCTCATAGCTTGACTGGAAACGGCCAGTCCAATCGAATCCGGTGTCTAAGGCAATATAGCCAGTCCCGATGAAGAGGGCGGCAGCAGACGCGCATATGAGACCGATGGAAGCTGCTGTGCCGTCGTCAAGCAACTGGAAGCCGACAAGTGCGTTCATGAGAAGGACCCAGCAAGTAGCAGTGATCGCGGCAATGTGTACTGCAGAGAACCCCTAGATACATCTGTCAGCCGAGACCTTGTATTTGTCCTGTAGAAATCCTACCTTTCGGACTGCGTCGCTCAGCGGGAAGCCGCCCACTGTGAAGATCTCACAGATCTCGATGACGATAAAACCGAGCAAGAACAGTTGCATTTCCCTGCGCACACACCTCCATGTCAGTTGATATTTCCTTAGTGAATAGAGATATCCCATACCTCCGGCCGACGGCAGCGTGCTTCTTGTCCGATCTCCATATCATACCCACGGTCAAGATAATGGCAATGAAGGCCAGCAGAATCGAACCTATCACAAATCAACAATCGTGCTCATATAATTCCTCCTCAATCGCATCGGCCTCGACTTCGCAGATCGTACCTAAGTTCCGAAGGTGCCTGTCCCCACTTAGAGGAATGCCAGTCAGATCGCACGCGTGGAAGGCAGCAGTCGCGGTTTCATTGGTGAAAAGCTGTACGCGACGAAGAGATATAATCAGCTGACAATTCTATGGCGCCATCCTAGGGGTTCCAAAAAGCTCTCACTCACATTGCAGACTGGTAGGGTTGAGTCGCGACAGAAGTTCTGTGATACCCATATGGGTGTGCGGTCAGTATCTGCCCATTGAAGGGTCTCTACTCCGTAGGTCGATTTGCACTTACGTGAAAGTTCCCGAATTGAGTGGACCCCATTTTGGATTGAGGCGCGATTCAAGCCAGGGGAAAACACAACAATGTTGACAAAGGAGAGTTCAAGACGGGAAGTGACCTGGGAGGACCAGTCCAGATAGATAGTGAGACCAGGTTGAGATAGAAGTAGAAGTAGAGAAATGGAAGTCTAGCTGGAAGAGCCTGTGAGGGGAAAGTGATTCAAGATCCCCACGGGTTACTCGGGGGACTCCAGGGCTGGCGCTAGTGTGGCTTAGAGTGAAAAAAAAAACGTCTTAACTTCCAAGTTTTTGGTTTTAATATCCAAAAGTGAATCAAAACAATTCTTTAGTGATTCTTTGGTGGTTCTTTGGGTCCAGTCACTAATAATAGTACACTCTTCCGCCTACGTAGTTGAGTGGTATAGAATTGTTATGTACTATGTAAAGATCATATATGTTGTAGGTTCTTTTCTGATCTTGTGGATACTTGCAGATCTCCCTAGACCTAATGCCGATATTGTTTTTTTTTTTTTTCAATTCTTTTTTTTTTCCTTTCATATTGGGGATAAACAGGTTTATCCTCGACCCTTGCTGGAGAGAATAATATATGGTCGCCAGGTCGACCAGGTGGACTCAAGCCACAATTTAGTAAGTTAATACACAACATACGATCCTCTGAATTTTTCCTTCATATATTGAACCATTGAGATATGCGGTCATGTTTTGTGCCTGCAGTGCTGTATCGTTACTCTGTGCCTCTACCGAGTATGGAGTATTCACATCGTAGAAGTATACATACCCCTTAAGGGCTCGATCTAGTCCAGTTGGAAATTAATGAAGTCACATTCAATTTTAGCGAATCAACCCCTTCTTCTGTACCGTACTCCATGTAGGTCGGCAACACTCGAAGAGTACCGCTTAACACACATCCTCAATCACCAAGTTTTGCCCATCATGCTCGCCCAGATCCAGCTTCAAGGTGCGCCCAAACAGCTCAAGCAGCATCTCGAAGCAGACCTTGGTGATAGCTGGATCATAACGACCCTTGCTGAGCTCATCACGGATAAAGGCATCTAGATAACTAGTGTCAGCATAGTTGCGTTCGATGGTATCAAGAGATGTGCTCACGTTGCGCCCAAGCGACTTCATAGAAGCCGAACAAGACGCCCTTTTCATGCAGAGTCTTGCGGATGAGATCCCGGCCCTCCGGCGGGACATGGTTATCGTTTTTGCCGAAAATCTAGAGATGTGTTTAGCAAGTGACACAAATGGAAACACTTGAAATAAAAAATAAATATAAGACATACCATTAGCATCTCACCCTTGATGTCCCCAGCTCTCTCCAAACTATCATCACTCTTACCCAGGGCAAGGGTCTTGCTGTGGATATCCGTGGCAAAGTAACACACGCTCGCCTTGACCCGGCTATCTAGCGCGCAACGATAGGCCAAATGGCCACCCAGACACATGCCCGTGGCACCAACTCGGCCGTTGCAAGTGGGCAGCGAGAGCAGATAATCCACGCTGAGACTAGCATCTTCATCATAAGCGGCAAGTTTCTGATATAAAGTTAGCCACGGATATCAACCCAAGGAGAACAGCCCAATAAAGAACAAAAAGGGAAACGCAAGTAAAACATCTATTCAGGGAAGTATATTTCGCTTACCTTGCCAATCTTCCATGCATTCCCCTTGTCTGTGTCCTCTGCGTCATACTTCAGAGGTTCCGGACCAGTGAATTCATGGTAGCTCGAAGGAGCAGCACAGATATAGCCCTGGCCTGCGATCTGGCGTGCAAAGCGTGCCACGGGGCCCGTTACTGCGGGTTCAGGATCATTAGTTGAGGTGCTCGGGCATTATTGCAGTGGAGGGGGCACGAACCTTGGTAGATCTCGCTGAAAACTACGACTCCGGGGAAGCGGGCTTTTGGGTAGCCTGGAATTGTCGGGTGGAAGACATAGATGCCTTATAAGTTGTTAGAATTGACATCATGAAGGAGCAATGACTCTATAGAGGGGATAAATTTGTTGTACGAGAAAGACCATGTACATACGCATCGTCCCCTGTCCATCCGCTTTAGTGGGGACATCATGATAGGATTCTTGGATCAGCATGGTTTCTTTTTTTTGTTTTCGACGGAGAAATAGATTGGAATAGACTCGAGAAATCAATTGAAAGATTAAGGCGCGAAAACATTATCGATAACATACGCGGGGCAGTCATGTGCTGATACCCGTGGACTGGCATCTCGACACTTTTATCCATGTATGCTTGCCTTTTAATGCAGGGATCAAGAATTGAAGTATAAATAGCTAATTTCTTTAGATTTGGATCAACTTCGGAATTCGGGTTAATCGTCGGAGTCGTACAAAAAAAGTCATAAAGCTCATAGTGGTGGATTCTAGATAGGTCAGAGGCCATAGGATGGTCGGAACATCTTGCTTCATGATCGGTACAGGTATTAATAATCTATTTGCCATTTTTCTTTTATACATATGATATCCCAAAATTGTTTGGCTGAAAGATGATCTGGTTAGACCTAAAGAAAAAAAAATCCCCTGGGCTCCCAGCCACCGAGCCCCCAAAATGAATCGCAAGGGAAAGTAGCGGACTGCGATTAGAAGACGTACTATAGCATACAAAGTTAGCCACAGGCACAGAGGGAATATCCAAGATCAAGTTACTCACAGGAATGAACAGGTAAGGCACCTGGCGTTCGTATTCGAGCCAAGTCTCGCCGTACTTGGTGCGACACCGCTGGATATCACGAAGAGCACGGTGACTGATCATGCAAGCGAAGAATACAGGGTAGAACCAAGGGAACGGGCTTGAGAAGCCGGTAATCAAGCCCCAGTTCAGAGCGAAGTAAAGATCGCACGTGTAGTGGATCTTACGGGCCTTGCCATCTATACGGTTGTTAGTATCGGAGCTCGTAAATTTTTGATATTTAAGATGAACTTACACCACCCATCCACAAGAATCTTTGAGCCATCGGCCGCAGTAAGAGTCTTGGGGTTCTCCACTGTCTGCCAAGGAAGCTGGGGGAAGGTGTTGCGGGTTACCATGGTACCACGCTCCTGCTGGCGGAAGCGGTTCTTCTGGCTGTTGGTGGTATCCCAAACCCAGTAGACGAACAAATAGGCGACGAACAAAAAGGCAAGGAAGTAGCGGTTCCAGCGGTATTCAGCAGGGTCATGGTTGGCGAGGTAAATGGTACAGTGACAGTAGCTCAGAGGCACACCGGCCAAGTTCCAGAAGATCAGCATGAAGCCCCACTTCTCGTAGTACATATCCCTGCAAAATGTTAGGAAATAATCTTGATTCTTAGGGGGTTATACCCTTACCAGGTGGAAACAATGCACTCCTCACCCTTGGAGCAGGCATTGGCGTAAAGGTAATGAGCCATGACAAGGAACATAACCTCGCCAGACACATAACCATACATCTCCCATTGGCGGGCAGCGGCGCCCATAGACAGACCCAGCAGGATGTACCAGGGCAGGCGGACCTCGAAAAACATCTTGAAGTCGAGGATCTTGAACATGCGAGGGTTGAGCTCGGCACCCATGAAGAAGTCATAGATCGGGTAGCCAGTCATACGGTGCTCTGCGCCGCGCGCCAAAGCCGAGAAGTAGGCAATGAAAGAGACGATATATCCAGACAGGATGGCCACGGTGAGCAAGGGACCGAACTCATCAATGATAGTGTACAGCTTGAAGACCCCAGTCACGTGCGCAAGGAGTACCAATGCAATACTGGTGTAGAACGACCACACACCAGAGCAGTAATATGGAAGCTGCTTGCCACCCATGTGTGGCAGGGGGCGACCCGAGACACTAACGCCGGGAAGAAGCACGTAGCAGGCACCCTCGAAGATAAAGAAAACCCAGTAGATAGTCCATGCCTTAACCGACGGGAAAGCACCGGTGTAGACCAGATTGACCAAGTGTGCGAAAAAGTCGCCGTAACTCTCGTTCTCCGCGGGGCGAGGGAACTTGCCGTCGTAGTAGGTAGCACCGATCCACATGTAGTACATGAGCATAGGGAATCCGATCATCATGGACAGCACACCCAAGGAGCCACCAAATTCAAAATGTCCGCTGTAATCCACTTTGGGATCGAGGCCTTCCTCCCAACCGTCCACGATGCGCGATGCGGACTTGGGATTAGGGGTGGTAGTCTTGCCATTGGTGACCTTCACCGGCATATCATCCTCTTCGGTCTTGACTTTGGCCGAAGTACGACGACGGGAGGCGGACTTGGATCTCTCTAGGGAGGGGGAGTTGGAGGCTTCATTCTCGCTACCATCGAAGACAGAACTGTTGCGGGTGGTGCGACGGCCGCCGGGGGTCTCAATGAAGCCGGGGCGATCCATTTTTCTGGAGGAAGAAAGGATTCCAAATTAGCTTGACAACAGCCTACTGTATACAAGCCAAAAGTTCCGGTGACTGGCAAGATATAACCCTGGGGGATTCAGGGTGTGGATACGTCGCAACTACGATCCGGTGGAAACTACTCACTTGGGAGTTTTCCCCGTTTGAGAGCGGGTTAAAGTCATGGTCGCTTAATCGGAAGACCAAGGTTCCGACTGCAATTGAGGGTAAGGAGAGGAAGGGTAAAAAGGAGCGAGGGAAAAAACAAGAATGTCCTGAATGTTTACCCTGCCCGTCCACGGACGGGTGTACTAATTGATTACATAACCATTCAAATAGGTAACTAATTTTAAAATCTCCAGGGCTCTATATCAGAGTGGGCAACCAGAATGTGAATTTAAGTCTATAAGGTACATAGTTATGATTCAAATTTTTGATAGAACATTGAAATATATATTTACCTAGGTAGTATATATGGTCTATTTATCAGTCAAAATACAGAACGTGAGTATACATAGATTTCCCTTGCTAAAAGGGGTTAAATACCCTTTTTTTTTTCCACTGTAATATTTCACCCCACGGCAATTTATTTCCAAGGGAACTTTAGTGGGCAACTCGTTGTCAACTGCCTGTTTTGATGGAACTCTGCCAAGATATGCAAGCCCTCAGATCTATACGATTTACCCCTTATTACAAATCCCAGATCACATGCCTGGTTTTATTTCTATCTTTGACTCCTATTTTCACCTGTTTTTCTCGCCAAATGGATCAGGTTACGGTGTGAATGTTATGTGTTTGATTTGAAATGTCTAGAAAAGTCCAACATTACCAGTAGAATGGAACACGGGCACATCTAGAACAATTACCAAGACAACCTGAAGAATCGGGAAATGGATCATATATGATAATATAGTACGAAGTTGATGGGAATTGAGAACAGTGAAACAAACAAGGCTTGATCAAGACCTATGCCCCTCTCTGGCTGCTAGTGGCCATCAATGTGATCTTGGTTTTGTTCTTCTTCTTTTTCTTACCCCCACTAGAAGATGGTCCAGAACTTAGATTCTGGTCTCCAGATGCCGTCTGAGCGAGCAGATCAGATTCCTGCTGGGCGAAGAGCTCATCCTCCCAGCCCTGTCGCCACCCGTCACTATGTATAGCCCGTTGAGCCTCAAGGCTTGGTGACAGTGAGCCCACTGCCGTTGTGCCCCAAACAGTGCGGATACCCGGGGGACTGGTAGAAGGAGAAGCCAGTGCCCCGAATCCAGACGAGCGTGGAGGAGAGGCCGAGGAGGCGGTGGCGTTGAATAATGTAGAATCCGCATTGTGAGGAAGTGGTTGGAAGTCATGAGCAGAGAATGGAGCTTCACTGACGCTGGCACTTCCAATGCTTGGCCGCTTGCGCCGAGCGGCAGCCCACCGTTTGTCGTCCTCTTCCTTCTCCGCGCGAATGCGATCCTTTTCTTCTCGGGCTTCTTTTTCTCGGTTACGCTTTCGTCGCCTATCAGTCTCTGCGCGGAAACGTCCCAAAACCTCGGGGACAACCACGTCCCTCCAGTCGCACTCCAGGAAGCTAACCTCACATCCCTGCGGAAGATGCCCGAGGTACTTCACTCGCTTGCGAAGCTCATCATCCACGATGTGGCCTGTTGATATGTGCTCCACTCGTGGTAGGATGGTTGCAGGGAACAAAGAATATTCTCCAAATGCAGCTTTGAGGATGCGAATATCCAAAGACGAGAGGTAGAACTGAGGCAATGCCTGATAAAAATGATACGGTTGATCTGGCCCGGAAGACGCTGGTGCTTGCGTGCTGCGGCCTTTCTCTTTAGCTTTGGCACTGGGTTTGGAATCAAGGTGGACTCCGTCTAAGGTTTCAGAGATATGATCCGCTTCAGCTGATGTAGCGGGCGTCGCAGTAGAGTCTGCAGAAGAGCCATTGGCAGGCGTAGGTGCAATATTGCGTTCCTTAACTGGCCGGACATCAGGCGGATTGCCAATGCCTCTCAGCTTCTCCTTGGCATCCATGATAGAAACAATTGCTTTTCTGGTCCAAGTATTCTCGTCGCCAAAGAGAAGCTCGTCTTCAACTTCCTGTCTGCGGAGGTCTTCGATCTCGGCATCATACTGAGCGGCCATATATTCTTCACCACCTTTCATGATTCTAGCATAGTCGGCAACTTCCGCCACATGATACCACGGAACATCCTCGCCTGGACTAAGTGTCTCAGATCCATCACGAGGCAGAGCAAGGGTGCTGCCCGACTCTCGCTTTACAAGTCTCAATACAACATCACCGCCTTCGACGGGAAGATCGCCTTCTTGGCCACGGAACCACCTCACAGGTCGAGTCTCGGAGATATACACCGAGTCCCAGCAGATAGGACATTTCTTCCAACGGTGCCGTTTTTCAGGGACCGTGTTATCGTCATCGGATGAGTGCATGTATCGGATAAGACATGGGAGGCAGAAGATGTGACCACACCGTGCCATCCGCGGTGCCACCGGAGTAGAAAGACAAATGGGACAACTGGCAGCCTGTGTCTGAGCAGATACCAGTACTTGAAGGACCGAGGCCCAATCGAGATGGACATCCGCATTGGCTGCCTGAGCATGGAAATTTTGATTTGGCATCACAATAAACCGGTAATTCGCATGAACATAACGCGATTTGTCTACTGCACCCGCTCCCCAGGATGTATACCGTCGGATGTTGCGAGGAGGTGCTTGGTATTGTGGGCGAGGTGGAAGTGAAAAGTTCATCAAGTGAGTGATGGACGTCTGTCCCTTGCGGCTGGTGGTGGATTTCATGGCGGCCTAGATAATGCCTCCAGGGTCAGCAGGCAGCTCTTGAGGAAGATAGACCCGTGAACCCACCGATTCGTTGTACTCGTCATCATCCAATAACCGAGGTTTTCTTTGACGGTTATGCTGACTCTTCCGAGCTTGATTATTCCTTGGGGTGGCTAAAGTTTTCGATTGTACCCCTGGCCGAAAACCTCCAGAACCTCCGACGCGCCTTTGAGAGCTGTTCTCCGCCGCAGCTGCTGAGTGAAATGGAGTAGACGAAGCTGTATTCGGAATGTTTACCGCTTTAGAAGGGGGCGGGTTCTGTCCTGCATTGGATGACATATCTCTGCAGTAATGGCCCTTCAGTGGAAATCCCAATAAACCAAATAAGGCGGAGAGTCGAAACGAGCCAGTTGGGAAGATGAGGGGTTCTACGGGGACTGGATAAAGTCAACAACTGATAAGATGTCAATCAGCTGGCGGGCAGTAGATCGGGTGATCTACTAGGTGCTGAACAAGCCGAACAGGAAGAAGAGAATGAATGGCCTTAAAGGCCATGTAAAAATAGGATTGAGGATCGAGGGACGGCCCTCAGGGTGCCACTTGATGTCGTGAAGGTCCAAATTCGCCCCTCTCTGGTTACAAATCGTAATGTCACGTGAACCAGCAAGTCCCGACACCCAATTCGGTCTCGGTCCCCTTCAGCTTCATTTCGTTTGACGGTGAATCGAGGCCTCCCAACCCTCGTCTCTTATTTCTTTTTTTTTCTTTCCTTTTGCTCACCTGCTTCTTATCTCCCACTTGTCAACTCTCTCCGCCTAGGGAGTTACTTGTACAGCGGTCTGCTTTTCTCTTCTTGTTTTCTCACTCCGATCTGGTTTGGCAGTTTCCTTCCACCAATCCCAGCAGCCCAACAGCTCTTTCGACCCAGTTCATCCTCCACTCCCATCCTCCAACATATCCAAAAGCTCTTACCGAGGCCACGATAGCTGCCCAAATGCGCCAGCAGCTCTAGATTTTTCCTTCCTCTTGACTGCTATCGCGCATGGCACTCATTTGAGGCAACGCGTGACCGAACGTCAAGACAACTTTTTTTTCTAGCCAACTCAATATGAACCACCACCTTCCTGCCATGCCACATGGGCAGCTGCCCATGCCTCCTTCGAGGCGCCAGCAAGACTTCTCTTACAACGCCGCGCCTCCCCACATGCGATCACCACAGTACATAGGATATCCTCCTCACATGAATGGCCACATGCCTCATCAACCATACTCATCGCAGCAATACCCTTACTGGTATCCACCATATGGACATATCCAGGGTCCTCCACGTCCATACCAGGCGCCCTATGGACCGATGATTGTATCTTCTTATCCTCACTCGCAGCCTGTCATGGCGCCCACGCATATTCCTCACTCGATGCCCATGCATCAAAGAACCCCGACTCCACTGCAACCGATAATGTCTCCATCTGTCATGCATCCGTCGATTCAGCCCATTCAGCCCGAAATGCAGGAATACCCTGCTGTTCTACCTCACTCGGTCCAAGGATATCCCATCGCTTCTCCGCCACCACGATGGGAGCCACAGCCAAGCCTGCCGCCGAAGCCCACTTTTGCCCCACCAGTAAGTGTTTACTCTTATCGCAAATCAAACATGAATATTTTCTAACAGTTAATCTAGATTCCTTGGCTCTCGGTTCCAGAGCAGCCCTTCCCGGCCAGAATCCCGCGCAGACGTCGCAAGGGCCGTGTCATGCAGTCATCAGTTGAGCTTCCCACCAAAGACATGCACATGGTCATCGAAGGAGATGAAAACGAAGAGACTCAGCCATCCTCTTCATCTACCCAAGAATCTTCGGAACCTCAAACACCAACCACCACCATATTCCAACAGTCGGATACAGACTCCACACAGCCCACCACCCCTTCGTCAGTTGCGAAATCACAAGCACACTCGAAAAGCTCGAAGCCTGCTCCGGTTGTTCCAGTGGTGCCCAATGTGCCCTCTACCCCACGCCGCCAAGCCAAAGATGGCAGTGCCACATCTGGAACTCCTAAATCGACTGCACCTGCTACTCCTGTCCCAGTGGTAGAATCGGATAAAGTTCCTTCTGTTGAAACCAAGACAAGCTTGCCTGTGCCAGCTGTACCCAAGTCCTGGGCTGATTTGGTCCGTTCGAAGGAGTCGGCGCGAGCAGCAAGTGCCGCTGCCGCTGCCGCTTTAACCGAGCCACACGGATTGCCTGCCCAGAAAAATAAATCCCTCGCAGATGTCCTGAGCAAGTTAGGAGAAGATGTCACTCAATACAGCGACAAGATCGCATTCCTTGAACCTCGAGGACTGGTCAACACCGGGAACATGTGCTACATGAACTCTGTGTTGCAAATTCTTGTTTCCTGTACCCCGTTCTACCAATTCCTTGATCATCTTGGCCGACGTGCTGCGCACACCTTCCACAGTGATCTTCCTTTGATCGATGCGATGATCATGTTCATGAAGGAATTCCGTGTTATTGACGCGGCCACTTCTGAAGATCAACTTCGCCTCAGATTGAAGCCCAATGAGCTTGAGCAATATGGTGACTCTTTCGTTCCTGAATTTGTTTATGAGATGGTTCGACAGCTGCCACGATTCAGGGACATGCGGCGCGGACATCAGCAGGACGCCCAGGAGTTCTTAGGCTTCCTTCTCGAGGAGATGCACGAGGAGTGCGCTCGTGCCGAAGCACACACCGCAGCGAAGGAAGGAGACGATTCTTCTGTCGATGGCTGGTTGGAAGTTGGCCACAAGCAAAAAGCCGCGACCACCCAACTGTCTGGCTCTCTTTCTGCTGAGTCGCCGGTTACCAGAATCTTTGGGGGAAAGCTTCGCTCAGAATTCAAGGTGCCTGGCAACAAGACTTCTGTCACGTTAGAGCCCTATCAACCTTTGCAACTCGACATTGGATCGCATGACGTCCACAACATTCTCGATGCGCTCAAGGGAATGACAAAGCCGGAAAGCATCCAGGGTGATTTCAACTCGTCACGCGGACCGAACATCACCGCGACCAAACAAATCTTCATTGAGACCTTGCCCCCTGTTCTCATTCTTCATCTCAAGCGCTTCCAGTACGACAGTGTTACAGGTGCCACTCAGAAGATTTGGAAGAAGGTTGGATATCCTCTAGACCTGGAGCTTCCGCGGGAGGTTTTCCCAGCTCATCGGCGTAACGCCATGGCAGCCCATGGAGGTCCCCCCAAGTATCGCCTCATGGGTGTGATTTATCACCACGGCAAGAACGCCAGCGGCGGTCACTACACGGTCGATGTTCGGCGACAGGAAGGCTTGGAATGGATCCGCATGGACGACACTGCCATCCGTCGCGTTCGCAGTGAGGAAGTGGCGGAAGCTGGTGGTGAGGAAGACCCTAAGGTTCTCGCTGCTGCTCTTGAGCAGCACAAGCACGGGAAGGTCCCGAACGGCAATATTTTCGACCACATCGATCAGGATGACATGGATTTGACTGACAGCGGCAAGGGCTGGAGCCAGGTCAATGGCAATGGTGCCAACGGACATGCAAGCAAGAAGTCTGTGAACGGAGTTACTTCACCTTCCGCCGCCCCCTCTGGGGTCCGAACTCCCCTGGGCCGCTATGGCTCTCATGACAACAAAGTTGCCTATCTATTGTTCTACCAGCGAATGGATTGAGGGTTCTCACCCAAAAGCTTCGCCATTAGGCTGGGCGTCCGTTCATCGACGAACACCTGCACTTGGGCATGTTGAGTTGATGACTCAGCGCCATTCATCATGACATCCTTGTGACTTCTCAACTTCCCTACTTCCCACTTGACTTCTTAACTTCCACACTTGCACTTTCCCGGTTTGTTTAATTCATCAACGAAGCACCACTTTCCACTTTTCCTTCACCAGAAATATGTCTTCCCCAAACGACTACACCTCATCGGAAACGGAACAGTCACAGGAGTCTCGCGATACTGAAGATTTTACCCATCAACAAATCTGCCTCGCAAATGTTCATGGCCTTGACATCAGTGGATTGAAATGTTGCAATCGACCTGGCCAACCTGATTGCTGAAAAATATCCACGCGTCCGTAAGAGTGTGTTCCTGCAGAAGAAGGTTTCAACGCGCACAATGCCCAATTACACACACGAAGCCCCGCACACGTGGTGCCACAAGCAACTATTCCGCTGGCACATCGACGGGCAACTTTCTGCGGCCAAAGTTCTTGATGTTATGGTGACAGCCAGCCCATGCGTCGTTGCGCGCAACCCTCCTTATGTTGATAATCAGAAAGAGCCCGACACTGCTGTCACATGCCTGGGCAGCCCTACTCTACATGAACCAATGGTCGTTATTGAGGTCGGATTTAGTGAACCATATGTGAGCCTAGTGGAGGACGTGAAACTTTGGTTGGAGGGAGTCAGGGTCCATACCCGCAAGGTTATTCTCGTCAAGTTTTTCCGGCGCCGCCTAGGCGCCGCTGGCATAATCGAACTCTGGGGACGAAATTCCGCGGGAAGTGCGTACATGATCTGGAGCAACCGGATTTCCCTGATTCATGGGCCGCCCGAAAGGCCTATCTATCTCCCCAAAGACGACCTTTCTAACGGCGCTGTTGACCCAGAGTCACGGAACGATCGCCTTGAATTCCACATCCCTTCTCTGCGAAGCATCATTACCAAAATGGGCCTTAATCGCGTGGGGCTAACTCCGTTACCCTGAGATCTCATCAGCAGACATTTTTTTGCTCTTTTATCTATGACGAAGCCACGAATTTCCTTATCTTGATCTTGATTGCTTTGTCTGCATAGAAGGCGGGTGTTGAAGGGGGCTGGGGTTGTTTAGCCTGGGGCGTCGGGGTGTTTCTTGCTTGTGTTGGGAAGACGAGGGAGGTTAATGGCGTAGACGACAGTGGGCTGGAGGGTTGAAGGGGTGTGGAAGCTACAGGAGGGAGAACACAGAATAACAGGTGTGCTATGTCAAAAAGCCTATTATTACCCAAAAAAAGTTCCAAGAATTTTATCTCAAGATTGTATTGCTGTAATACATCGTTTATGTAGCATGTAGGTTATACTGAACCGAATAGTTAGTATAGTTGTGAATGTATGCAATCAAGCATGGAAGATAGGCATTCCACACTCGCTCTTCACTTCCAAATCCCCATCCTCTACAAACTCAAACCCAAGAGCCCTCCAGTTCAACTCCTTCCTCCAATGTAGCCCATAGTACCCCCTCTCGTCTTGTCCATCGACTGCAGAAGTGTCAGCCTCTGCAGCTTGAACAACCTCATCGGCCACGGGACCAACAACCGGCTCAGAAGACAGGCCACCACTCTCCAACCTCCCACGTCTGGGGAAGATGACAGACCGGAACCGGGAGAGAAGCATGCCCATAGAGCAGCACAGACATGGCTCATGGGAAAGGTAGACGTCCAAGTCTGTGCAGAGGTAGCCACCCTGTGACCGAGTACGAATGCGCGGGGCTGCAGGCGTTATAGCCGGGGTAGAAGAGTCCGCAATTACCACGGTAGATGGAGGAGGAGCTGGGAGAGGTGGGTGGTGATGCCGGGATTGGGAAGGGTCTGTAGAAGGGTCGATAGTCAAGTCGGATTCAGGGTTAGGGTCTTGGTGTTTCCTCTTCAATGGAGAAGACGGAGACGGAGGTGAGTTGGAGATGCTGGTAGATATTCCATGACGGTGGCGGTATAAGAAATATGATTCCAAGGCGCTTAGCCCTGACTGTTCTAGTTCAGGCTTCGATAGACCTGCGGTAGTCGTTGATGCAGACACGTGGTCAAGACGATCATGTTCTCGGCGCCAGCGAGCAATCAAGTCGACAGCACGCATCAGCGCGTGCAGTTCAGGCCCGCCCTCGATATCCGCGTTGTATGTCTTGCTCGCTGGGTTTGGCGCTACCCCGGCGTGCAGCTGGGCCTGAGATGGTGCGCCCGCCTCGGGGCGGGAGTAGCGCGCATCGCCGGCAACTGCGAGGACTGCTTCATCCCATTCTGCTGTAGTGTCATATCCGGCCTCATAGCCTGCCTCGGTTATTTCTTCTTCAATGGCAGGGTCGACTATCACTGCGCCTACGCCACGGCCTAGCCCGGATTGTTCTGCTTCCTCTGCTACTTTGCGCGCTAGGGATAGGTAGTACCCTGCCCGTGGTTCAATGGATTCCTGTGCGCGTTTTAGGATTTGAGGAGGCGGCGCGACAGTTGAGCGGGGTGCGGCTGGGTTGAATACGACTGGCCAGAGGGTCTTGGTCCATGTTTCGGCTTGAGTTGCATTGAAGGGGGGGCAAAGGGGGATTGTGGCGGGGTGAAGTTGTATAGTAGGGGGTGGAGGATTGGACTGTGAAGCTTCCTCTGGCGTTCCATTTGTAGTTGGAGGATCGTTTGTAGCGGCCGGCGCCGTCTCCGGCGCAAATGGAGCCAGCAGAGCCTTGAGTGTGGTGATATCAGGCAACGGTGGTGATATGAGCACGAATATGGTTTGTGCCGGGGCCGCTGGATGAAGGCTCTGGCTTTCAATCTTTGCCCTTAGTGGGGGTGGGAGTAGTTCTCTTTTAGCGAAGCGACGGAGGTGTGATAGCGGAAGGGAAGGGTCTTTGGGAAAAGCCGTGTCGAGAGCTCTAATTGAGGAATTAATTTGGTGGTTTAGACTGGCCAAGCACACGGGTCTGTAGCTTACTTGATCACTTTGGATGCAGACTTCACATTGACTTCTGCGACAAAGGCATCGCCTATTTGTTGGTTAATCTTGATGTCGCAAGAAGAGGGCGATGTTGTGGGTCATACCGAATTCTTCTGGGGGCCTTGTCTCTTGGACTGTTCGAATGGGGACCACCTGCCCACCGAGGGGCTTGAGGTCTCTGATTGTCTTTTCGACGTCCATTCTAGCTATCTCAAATGGCGCACCCAGTCACAGGGTGGAATGAGGTGAGTGTGTCAAGATAGGTTGACCATGTACAATGGCATAGACTAAGGGGTGTTTGCAAATTATAATGCCTTGAAATTGCGTTTCACCCTCAATTGCCGACGTCGACTTCAATAATTCAGCGGAAGTATTCACATAGACTTGAAGAAAAGAAAGCTATACAAATGGATGCAAACAATGCAAACTTTCTGTGTTTGCCCCGTTTTGGTCTTTTCAGTCGGCAGGTTCTCAAAGTAATTTGTGTCTGCCTTTTACTGCTGTCTACCTATACAACTGAGAAGGGGGAGGAAATATCTTAACATCCAGTAAACAGAATATCTGAGGCTACTAAAAAGACTACTAAAAAATACATTACAAGGCCGCATGCGCGCCGTCTACTCTTGTATAGTTTCGGATTCTTCGAGGGGCTTACATGTACGTTATGAAGAGCCATTACTATTATACCTTTTATAGGGAGCTAGGCCGTGGTAAGGGGATAACAATGTTTGTTGCTCCATCTAAACCTCACACCCCTCAGCTTCAACAGTGTATAGAATGCAAGAGCCGATGATGGATAGTGCGTATAAAAAAATGCCCAAGGTCTACACTTGCAAAAACTTAAATAATGAGTGGATATTTGGGTTTTGTATTGTTCTAAAAGAAACAGTTAAGACGATAGGTGACTTGATCATACATATCACCCTCATCCCGTGAGACACCAAACGCCGAATGCCCTGTGAAATAAAAAAGAAAATTCGCTGAAAAGTAGGAACAAGGTATTGCCCATCGACCTTTTGGTATATGCTGAGATAGATGTTCTAAAGCGCCATGCCTGATCCCGATACTCCTTGATATTAGATCAAAAGCAAAGATGCATCGAGATCTGCATCATCCCCCGCTAATGCAAGTGGTATGTATTAAATCACACCGCCAATGACTCGGCGGGTGACAGGCAGAAGAATCCACTCATCCATGGCTGACTCGAGACCGGCCCGAGTGGTCCAGGGCAGAACGTAATTTGTGCAGATTTCGCATCGGCGTAATTGGGGCGTATTGGTCCAGCCTTATGCTGAAACAGGACCGGCTGCTGGAGCAATGCCGGTGACCCCAGCTTTGGCACTTCCATTTTGGCAGATGCCTTCAATTTCAAACCCGTCGCATCGATCGACGAGGCTCTGATAATAGTCCACCAACACTTCCGGTTGTGGGACAATGCGCCATTCGACTCGGAACAAGAAATCGAGTTCGAGCATGGCTAACTCAGTCATACCGATTCCACCAACTCGAGCATACGTCTTGTTGGTCCAAAAACTGTCGCTGAGTCCCTTGCTGGCAACTGTGGCGCTGGTGATCAGGAACCGATGGATGGTCAAGCTGGAAACAGTGAAGGCGGGGTACAACGCGCAGAGTCGATCGATGTAGTAGACCATACTGAGGAGGATAGGGGGGAGAGAGTAGCGTGGGTTGTCAATCGCTGTAGGTAATCTTGCACGGAGATTCGGGGCGGAGAGCGCGAATGAAAGCGAGTCAGACGACCCTGGTGTAGTGGGATCTTGTCGTTGAATCGGATTAGCTCCATGAGCATGCTGGAGATCAGCACGACCATGTCACGGGGGTCAGCCAGTTCATATTGCGTGGGCAACATCTTGACATCTGGTTTGGAAGCTCGCAGGCGCTTGGACTGCGATCTCTCCAAATCTTCGCCATCGTAGTCCGGTGTCGCATCCGATGAGTGATGGTCGCGTTGGCTGTTGCGCTTGTTGGAACCAGGGGTAGGGGCGGGCATCGAGGGGGCGGGGGAGGAAGTTGGGGGTGGATTTGTAGATGTGGCGGTCGCCGGAGTGGTTGCAGTCACAGCGGAAGAAGTCGATTGGGGTGTCGAAGCCAAGGCCGAATTGTTGACCAGGGTCTTCAGAGTGTCGGATGTAGATGCGCGCCTGCGTTGAAGATCTGAAGTTTCAGGAGAGGTAGGATCGACAGTATGTCGATTCAAGGCTGAACGAAGTTCGTCAATGGCCAGACGCGAGGATCGAGGACTATTGAATTGTGGAGCGCCAGTAGGCTCATAGTGGGAATGCGACCCCGAAGTTGAAGGAAGCGGGGAGCGCAACGCAGCCGTTGAAGGCGAAGGCGAAGACGCCAACATGGTTAGGTTATTAAGGAATGCTAGGCTGAGCATTCACAGTGCAAGGTGAGACCACGTGGGCGCACAGTCGGGGCGCGCTGTGGATGGCGTGGGTGCACGGCCGGCCTCATCCTCAAAGAGGCTTAAAAAGGGAGGCAAACAAAAAAGGTATGCAAGGGTTATAATAAAGAGATGGTTCTGGGAATAATACTCCGACCTTTTGAGGAAAGGGGGCGAAGTTGAAAAAATCTTGTTCGTTGGGGGTGAGGTAATTACATCCATATGTCAGTGGCTGCTTCCGGTGACTGTACCGTTACAGTATGGGTATTTTTCTTTTTCAAATTACAGTATTTAAATAGATCTCAAGTGATATTAGCTAAAGAGTAATGTCTTTAGAAGTACTCCGTATCCGCTGTTTAAATAACTCCTAGCTGTGCAATATTGTATAATATACGGAGTATGTCCCTCATAGTATGAGTACTTTACATATGTGACCCGGGAATTGAATCTACATACTCCATATCGAAGGAGATACCCATATCTGGAGAGAGATTCCATGACTAAATTACCTCATATGAAGCCCTTATCCTCTCTTTTTATATAGATACATGTATATATTGCACTTCAATATACTCTCGGGACTTAAGATCGAGCCGGGAAGCGGGGGTAACTACCGTGCCCTAGCTGGATTAGGTTAAAGTGCCAAGAGTTTAAGTATATTATGCACATTCATATATTCTGGCTATATGCAAATATATGATTAAATATGGTTAATGGATCTAAATAGTTCCAGTATTTGATTTCCTAGACCCGGATATACTGGATTGATATACTGGATTTGTTGTAGGGTATATGGCCGAGAACTGATACCAACAAAGCCTTACAAATATAGGCTACATGTACTCCACTGAATCTAGATCTCAATAATACGTAGTCCGTACATATATTGACTAATATTTATACACTTATGACACCCTCCCCTCTTTTCATGGAAAGGCAAACAATCTTGGAAACCCCGAGGCGTTCGACTCCAGATGCTGTCCCCGTCACACTCGACAATAGGGGAAGTTTTTATTTCAATCACTGCAGATCTGATTATAGAAGATTGGATATGTTCAGGTTCCGTAGCAAGATGCATACTATTTCGATCATCATGGCTCAGACTAGCGTTAGCATGGTGCTAGTAGAGAAAGTTGTAAAACCTCCAAGGCCGAGTGCCGCTCTTTCCTTAATCCGGGGCCACTTTTCGGTGAACGGTGTGTTTCGGCAGAACCGAAGTGCGGAGTACCTCTAGGCCCGGCTCTACAGTTCCGGTTTGCTATCACATCTATGTTGTGCATCCAAGTCTACACAGTCTTCTCATTGACGGATATAATTTCCTCAATATCATTCTAATATCTCTACCAATTCCAATTCAACACACAAAGTGAAACGTCGAGAACCTCCCGCTGGGAGGGGCTGATCGCCAGACGATGACGCGAGCTGCCGCACCGCCGATTCTGCTACAGCTACAGAGCGCCGAATCGGCATCCTCGCAGATTACAGCTTTGCGCACTCTGAAGAATGAACTGATTGGCCATGATCAGCGCAAGGAAATCTACATTGTCGAGGGAATCATACCAGCTTTGGCACAGGTGTTGATATCGAGATGGCCGGGAACGGCCGAGTTTAATGAATCGATACTGCAAGGCCGGTCCACGCCAAATGCCACAGAAGATTACGAAGCATGCCTTCAAGCAACTTTGATTGTTGGGAGCTTGGCACAAGGTATGTGAAAACCAGATCCATGTCTAAATCCGCTAAGATAAGACATTGACTGTACTGAGCAGGTGGTCCGACGTTTCTCACCCCACTATTCGCCAGCAATATCCCCCAAACCTTACTTTCAATATTTTCGTCCCCGGACTGCCCAGATTCATTCTGTCTTCCCATTCTACGACTCCTGAACACAATCGCAGACCGGATACCGTTGCAAAGCCAGGAACAATGGCCTCGGGACACGCAGCTTGCAGATCTCGTTTTTGCTTCTGCAAATATTACCTCTCTTAGACGTATAATCTCGCAGGAATACAAAAACCTGCGCAGCCAGGCTACGATCGAGCTAGCAGCCGCCCTGATCGGTAAGCTATGCACGGAGGAAACCCACAAGACGGCACTAGCAGAATCCGGGGTGTTGGACGCTTTGGCGCTCAAGATTGCCTCCTTTGTTGTGGCCAAGGGATTTGTCTTGCCTGGCGCAGAGGATCGCCTTCAAGAACCTGGCGCATTAGACGACCTGCCACTTCCGGCCCCCGACTCCGCTCAGCTAGCACCCATTCTGCGCGCCGTGGCTGTCATTATCGAACAGTCAAAATGGAGGGCGGAGCATTTCCTGTCATCACCTGGGATTGTAACGGTGTTTCCAAAACAAATCCCTGGGTTCGCTCCATCAGACATCAAGAAAGGTCCGTGGGGATCCACATATCTGTCGGGCTCCGCAGTACCACGTCATCTTGGCGCCAACCCCATAGAACAGCTTTTGCCTTCAGTTCCTCTAGCACACACAAAATCTTCATCCAGTTCTGCCAATTTCCCACCTCTGGGACACGGAGGCTCACAGCGTCGACACAGTCATTCTTACCCCACGCCTTTTTCGCTGACGGAGACGCCTGTTCCAGAAGACGACGAGAATGCGATCGTTCCATGGCTACTCTGCATCCTCCGCTCAGAGAATGGCATGACACGGTTAATGTCCGCACGTCTTGTCACGGCCCTCTTCCGTTTAGGATTGGCGAAGAAACATCGCGTCCCAATGTTCAGTTATTTGCTGATCCCCATCTTGATTCGTATGCTAGATAAGAACGTTCGACTGCCGGATGAAGAAGGCGCTATTCATGATGGTCTGCTCTCGTCGACCCTACGCTTGAAAGAAGAGGCGCCTGCCGTATTAGCCAACTTGGTCATGGATGACCAGGAGCTGCAGAGGCACGCGGTAGAAGGCAATGCGCTTAAGCGACTTTCACAACTTCTCAAGGAGACTTATAACCCAATAACGGAGACATCCCGGCCGATGTGGCACGCAGAGGATGGCCCAAGCCGAGACCTTGAGTCTCTTTCACAGGAGTGCCGCCTCGGGCCATCCGGTTACTCTCCGACCCTTTGCCATGTAATGCGTTACCGAGAGAACATTCTCAAGGCTTTGGCAGCACTCGTCCCATTCAAGGACGAGTACCGCAAGGCGATTTGCGAACATGGCGTAGTCCCTTACATCATTGACGCCCTCAAACCAAGGCCTAGTGATGCACTGGCTGATGCTGTGATGCCCAGAAATACTGCAGAGGATGGAAATCCGATTCCGACAATTCTGGCTGCTTGTGGTACAGCTCGAATGCTGACCAGATCTGTGAGCGTGCTGAGAACTAGTCTTATTGACGCCGGCGTGGCCAAGCCACTGTTTGCCCTACTTCGCCATTCTGACCTCGAGGTGCAAATTGCAGCAACGGCTGCGATCTGTAACTTGGCCTTAGACTTCAGTCCCATGAAAGAGGTTTGTCCAAATCTACATTTTGTTCATAAGCTTTGCAGCTAACATAATGTTTTCAGGCAATCATTTCCCACAATATCATTCCCATCATTTGTGAGCACGCCCATTCATCCAACACCAAATTACAGATTGAATCGCTCTGGGCTCTCAAGCACATGGTTTATGATACCGCAAACGACATCAGAATGAACATTATCGAGACTTTGGGCTCCGAATGGATCATGGAGGTCATCTCCCAGGATCCGGTCCGCGCAGTGGCTCGACGGGCGATAGAAGAGGAGACAGATCAAGGTTCCGGGTTTGCCATGGGTCGATCCAACTCGGCTGGCGAACAAGTCGACATTCTGAACCCCATGGATGACGCAGCGGAGTGGGAAGAGGACCTCAAGATGACCGATACTATGCCTCCCTCCAAAATGAGTTTGGACATGTTCCTTCCTGATGCAAGACGTAGACGCAAACTTGTTCTTCACGGAACCCTAGCTCAGACTACACAGTCTCGACAGGACGACATTGCCGTCCAGGAGCAGACATTTGACTTACTGCGCAACATGATCTGTGGTCGGGGTGCACCTGAGATGATTGAATATCTCTTCAGAGAGCTAGGTCAAAATGATTTCCTTGATACCATTGCAGATACATTGCGACCACGTACCATTCAACTCCCTCACCGCCGAGACTCCAGCAGCCAGTCCCTCCAAGTCCCCAATGAGATCATCAACGCAGCCGCCGCTCTCATCGTCCACTTGGCGGCCGGGCACCCACGTCACCGGCGCATCGTCGCGTTCCACTGTGACTTGCTACGGTCTCTGGGAAATTATTTCAACCATTCTCACAAAGACATTCGGTCGAACTGTGTTTGGGTAGTGATCAACCTCATCTACGAAGAAGATCAGAGTGACCATGAAGGTTGTCGGGAACGGGCAGTGAGACTTCGTTCTCTTGGGTTTGCGGAACGGCTGGCTAGCCTCGAGGATGACACGGAGCTAGACACAAGGGAGCGTACGAAGACTGCGCTGCATTTGTTGAACAAACTGTCTCCCGCATAGTTGATATTTTTCTCATGGTTAGAGTTACCCGGGGACGTTCTGGATGGGTCGGAGTACTGTAGGAAAATATGGACGATTCTTTTGTTTTTCTCTTACTGAGCTCGTCTTACATGGTAACTGATGAGGAGCTTAAATTTTGTAGATACTATGTGCCTGAAAGCTCTCTAAGCATTTCTACATCCATGGATGTTAGCTTTTCCCGTAGTGCCTTGTCACTTCTCTTTAAGCAGGGCTAGTAACATTACCCAGCACTCTCAGGCCAAATAGTCAGAGCCTGGGTATGTATGTAGGTATGGATTTGATGATAAGAGCTCCCTTATCGAAGTGGAGAAAAACGTCATGGCCCTTGCAATCCAGTCTGTTCACATCTGCAATCTACCTAAATATCTATTTTAAGACAGGTCTAGTCTTCCTAAAGAAATCTAATAATGTCTCCAGTACCAGAACCCATCCTCCGAGCCCTCTCACTCCCATCTGAATCAAAAGTCGACCTCTCCACATCCGGTCTAAGCTCAGGCTTCACAAGCACAGGTACCATCCACGCCCAGATCCCCGGCAAAAATGGCACAGAAGAGCGACGCTACTTTGTAAAAACTTCTGCAAATGGAAAATCCGCAGAAGAGATGTTTCAAGGCGAATCCGAGTCCCTCAACGCAATCGCAGCCTCGGTGCCAGGGTTCTGTCCGCAAGCCCTAGCTAGGGGACCACTCGACGAGCCCGGGACAAAGGCCAAAACGCACTTCCTCGCAACAGAGTTCCTTGATCTCGGTGGCAAGATGAGCCGCAGTACGGGTGACGAGACCACACTTGCGCACCGCCTCGGAAAACTGCATACCACACCCGCACCCCCAGACCCGGACACCGGCCGGCGTAGATTCGGATTCCCCGTGCCGACCTTCTGCGGTGATACCAAGCAGCCAAACCGGTTCTGTGATAGCTGGGCTGAGTTCTATGCGAATGAACGGCTGCTTACGATCCTGGCAATATCTGAAGAGCGCAATGGACCCGATGCTGGGCTGCACGAGGCGGTCGAGATGACGGTACATAAGGTTGTGCCTCGGTTGCTTGGGGATGGTCATTTAGGGTATAATTTTAGTGGCGAGGGAGAGGGGATTGTACCTGTTGTTATTCATGGGGATTTGTGGAGTGGAAATGCTGATTGGGGTCGGATTGTTAGCTCGGGTCGTGATGAAACGCCTGGGGATGTAGTGTATGACCCGGCGGCTTGCTATGGACATAGCGAGTTTGAGCTTGGGATTATGCATATGTTCGGTGGGTTCGGGGCTCGGTTTTTTGATCAATATCATCGTATTGTGCCGAAGACTGAGCCTGTGGCGGAGTATGCTGATCGGCTGGAATTGTATGAATTGTGAGTTCTTTTCTTTCCTTCTCTTAGTGTTGAATAAGTTTACTAATTATATCTCAAAAAAGATATCATCACCTGAATCATCATGCTATTTTTGGTGGAGGATATCGATCTGGTGCTATGTCGATTATGCAGAAGTTGATCAGGAAGTATGATAAGGACTAGAGTCCTATAAGTTTTGCAAGATTTTCTATTTTATTTTGTATCCTTTCAATATTTAAGCAACATTCAGCTAGAGACATTGTTCAATCACAAAGATACTTAAAAAAATGATGTCACACTAATATCCATGACTTGTCCGACTCTAATCTCTTCCTCGTTTCACCTTTCACTTCTCCCTTGGAAACAACAAATTGTACTATACAATGCCAGCTCATCCTGATTCCAATCTCTATCCCCAGGCTAGTGGCCCGGCCAAGGTGCTGGTCGATCAGCATCGCGCTGAACAGCCATTGAAGTTGTATGCGGGGTGATTCTGTCCGTATGTGCATGGCCCCTCTATCCTTGAAGCAAACGACTGCTAACCATTTATCCAGCTTTGCTTTGTCCCCAGCTTATTCATAATTACAAATATTAACAAAACAAAGTGCAACGAGTCTGGCTCGCCCTCGAAGAGAAAAGGATCCCGTACGAATATATCGAGGTCAACCCATACAACAAGCCAGACTCACTACTCACACTGAACCCTCGAGGCCTAGTACCTACACTCTCGACGCCAGCAGATCCACACCCACGGCCACTGTACGATTCCACTGTGATCCTGGAGTATCTGGAAGAAGCATACCCAGATCACCAACCCCGCTTCCTACCAGAAGATGCCTACGAGCGTGCCCGCGCACGCATTTGGATTGACTATGTGACATCTCGCATAATCCCATATTTTCACCGTTTCTTGCAGTGCCAGTCTGCAGATGGCAATGCGCAGAACACAGATGCCGAGTTGGATCAGGCTCGGCAAGAGTTTTTGAGTCACCTGAAAGCATGGGTGGAGGAGACGCACACCGATGGACCTTTCTTCCTTGGTAAGGATATAAGCTTGCCGGATCTGGTGCTGGCTCCGTGGGCTGTACGACTGTGGGTGTTTGATGAGTTTAAAAGTGGTGGATTGGGGATTCCGAAGGAGGGGGAAGGGGGTACAGATGAGGGTATCTGGAGCCGGTGGAGGACTTGGCTTGCTGCTGTTGAGAGCAGACGTAGTATCAAGGAGACTACCAGTGATCGTGCGCATTATCTTCCCATCTACAAGAGATATGCGGATAATTCAGCTCAAAGCGAGTTGGCTAAGGCGACCCGAGCTGGTCGTGGGGTTCCTTGAGAGGTTTGTGAGGCAATATTATGCTATTAATGTAGCTCTAGTGTGATCAACATTTTTGTAATTGCACATCTGTTTTCAGGAAATGAAACAATATGGTAGACACCGATATTATACACTTCGGGATACGGAAGAGTATATTTCCGACAAGCCTACACGTGATTGAGAGCTTTTGGCCTGACACGTGATCGCTATATCGATCCAGTCACTGCGCGTCCTCATCTTGCAACTCTCAAAGACATTACTTAGTATTGCCATATTTCTAAGAAATCCAAGAAACTGTCATGGCACGCAATATGAGGGGCGAATCTCCCCGCGGGAGCTCAGCGCTGGAAACCGGCCCGTCAGCACCGGCCATCCACCCGTCTTTTATACAGGTGGCCAACCCATACATATTCGAACAGACAGTCGAAAACTGCATCGAGGCGATGAGCGTTAATCCCCTTCGTGAAACTTCATTGCGTCTTCAGGGCGTAGCATGGATTGACAGCGTGCGGAGGGCCCTTAACCTGTAAGTTGACTTCAGGCCAGGCAAAATGTATCAAAACTAACTGGAAATCCAGTCCTATTCGCACTTTTGACACAGCAGTAGGATATTATCACCGATTTAGATTGGTGCACCCAGACAATGAGTATATTTTCACAGTGAGTTCTCTCGGAAATCCCTCAAGGAGACTAGCCTAACCTGGGATACAGGATGCTGCGGCTGCGGCTTTATTCACAGCATGCAAGATCGAAGATACGCTGAAGAAGTCGCGAGACATCGTCTGCGCAGCGTACAACTTGAAAGTAGCGCCATCAGAGCACTTATCGGCTGATGATCCCGTAAGTTAAGATGCCAGATGAGACAGGACAGAAGATTAACGGTTGTCGACAGATGTTTGAATCCAATGCGCGTGGCATCATCGGTCTCGAACGACTCATGTTAGAGGCCTCAGGCTTTGACTTTCGAACCCGGCACCCCCAAAAGACCCTCATGAAGCTGGGTCGGCATTATGGACTACTAAAAAACTCCGAAGTCTCCAATATTGCCTACCGCATTTCGTCCGATCTTTACCGGACATTTGCACCTATCAAACAAAACTCATCGACGATGGCCTTTAGTTGCCTTGAGCTTGCAGGACGACTCTTAGACCAGCGCGTCAAACAAGTGGAGTCCGGGGTAGACTATGCGCAGTGGAGCACCAGCCGAGCAGAAATCATGGGTAAGTGTTGTTGTTGTTGTTGTTGTTGTTGTATTCGAATTTCGAATTTACCTAGCGAGCGCCCCATATTAACACCCATCTAGAAACCCTCTTCGACCTCTTAGAACTCTATACCCACCACCGATCACAAACCGCTGTCGGCCCGGAATTTCCAGCAGACCGGTTCCTAACAGTCCGCATCCCGCTCAACCAAGAAGCCAGCGAGCAAAACATCCCGCGCTACCACCCGTGGATCGGCCAGCCACGTAAACAATCCAATGGCAGTGGCGCGAACGACCAAGATGCTCCACGACCTGCTCATCCCTTGACACCAATTGCAGCGAATGGGGACCGCCAGAGGACAGGCGAGCGAGGTCGCGACGCCGCCGTGCGATTCATGCTCGATCCCGCATGTGCGGATGAGGAGAGGCGACAGGTCGCGGCGTACTTCAAAGTCGAAATGGAAGAATATGAGGTCGACGGGTAAGAGGTAGTTCTTGCTATTTGCGTTCCTAGAACCTACGTTCCTGGCACCTGGTGTGCCTCGTGCGGCGAAGCGCAGCCGAGAGAAGGCTTTGCTTGTTTCCGTGAACCGATAATATGATAGCGAGTTTGGTATTGAGCTGGGATGGGCTCCTATATACTAGGTCCCATCTTGGTCTCAACCAAACAATACTCCGATCACAGTGACTCGCTATTGGCAGTTTGTCCTCATTCTTGTTGGGATACGCCGCCATCCTTGCTAAGCTCCAATAAGAGGCCCTTGCGCGCACTTTTCTGGAGCGAAACACTGTTTCTTGCTCCACAGTTTCGGAGATGAGTTGTCTCGGATACGAGAGACTCACATTCTGGAATTTTCCCGTCTTGTTCTATATTTCCCTTGATTTTTCGATACCCCAGACATCTATGACTAGTGACGAGATATCGATAGACAAAATGAAAAGAATTATTAACTATCGATAAACGGTTTCTCATTCTTACGGAACAATATATGAAGTAAAACAAAGTCAGAAATCAGCTTCAAAATTTGAATTGAAAGCTATGTACAGATCTACAGTCTGTTCCCTTCGCGCGTCCAAAAACAGCGAAGCTAGAGACAAGACCGAAAGAGCAAAAAACACAGACATGTCCCCCACCATCCCCCTTCTTCTACCACTTCTGTGGAGGGATGTGTTCGTTCCACGCATCGGGAGTATAGCAGAGCTCCATGTCAGGATCGACCGAGCAACAAGTCATCAAGTTTAGGCGATCAGAAAGGGAAGAGAAGAGAAGAGAAAAAAAATAGTAGTGAACAAAGGTACAGGGAAATAGCCGTAAATGAAGAGAGAAAAGTCGTCCCTGTGCCTCCGGCGTGGAGATTTTCGGTCTTCACAGCGGTTCATTAGAGCCCTTGCCACGGGTCATTTTGTTGGATATTTATGCCGTGTTGAAAGGCGGGTAAGGCGAGCGGGGCGCATGTATGTACATAACATGCATGCACACATTAAGGCTTGCATGCATATTCGATGGACCCAAACCAAGTCCCGAATGAAGCAAGAAGCAATCGGAGGAGAGTTGCAAGGGGGAAGCGCGGGGTTGAAAGGTCGTCCTCGAGGGGTAGAAATGAAAGTGAAAGATGAGTGTCATGAGTTTGGGTGGTGTTTTTCAGTCTGAATGCCGGATAATCTTTTAAATTCATCGACGCTTGAGTTCGGTGAGAAGGCAATCCAGAATCTGGGAGAGGTTAGTGATATGATCATGGTAATTGGTTCAAGGAAACATACGGATTCTGAGACGGCGCCCTGGTTGTACAAGTACTTTCCGAGACCACGGACGACCTCGAGCTGCTCGTCAACTGTAAGGCCATTGATGGCAGTCTCGATGATATCGCCTACGCTGGCCTTGTAGACAGCAATGAAGCTGTGGTAGTACATGAAAGAGAAGAAGCCCATGATGAACTGGCAGTCCATGCGGTCAGTGATGCCACCATGGCCAGGAATGGACTCGCCAAAGTCCTTGATCTTGAAGGTGCGCTTCAGACCAGAAGCAAAGAATCCACCGAACGGAGCGATCAGCGAAGCGAAAGTGGCGAAAGCCAAGATGTGGAACTGAATAGGTTCCACCCAGAAGGTCTTGTCCACGCCAAAGATTTCAAGCGAGTAGGGTTGCGACGTGAAGACCGGGTTTGGATCACATTCCAGACCGGTCAAAGCATTCGAGCCCAGATCATTGACAGGACAGATGAAGTACTTGTAGCGGATCAGCAAGTTGGTCATGAAATAACCAAAGCCAACGGTGCAGATCCATGCGCCAAGGAATCCCTCGACAGTCTTCTTCGGAGAGAGCTGAATAAGTTGTGTCTTTCCAAAGCTGATACCGCAGACATAGGCGAAGATATCATTGGTGATGACCAACGCGGCGGGGAGGAAGAACCAGATCATGCCCTCGAAAATGTTGTTCATGACAAAGTGAGCTTGGACAACAATCAAATACAAGGCCATATGTGTCCAAGCAAACTGAGTGAACTGGAATCGGTAGTGGCCCTTCTGCAGAGATCCAACGAAGAACACGAATCCTATCAACCGGGATTAGCAGAGTAAAAGGGGAGCAGCCGAGACACTTACCCATTACGTAAAGTGTGAAGCTGAGGAAGCGGTGGTGGTTCGCCAACGGAAGCAGAACCTTGTCAACAAGCAGGATGTGCTTAAAGTAGTAGATCACGCTCTCCCCGTACAGGAAATACATAGTGGTCGCCAGGAAGTACCAATTCAACGATTTGGTGAACCGCAAGTTCTTCTCCTTATTGGGGATACTGGCGATGGCGATGACTTCCTTGAACGAGATGATTTGGATGCCAGTAATTAGGACAATAATATAAATGTGACCGGAGAACAAGGCAACGAAGAAACCGGCAATCATCACAAAAGTCCATATCGTCCGGGTAATGAAGGTCTGCTTCTTCTTCTCATATTCGGACTGGGGGGATTCTAGATATGAAGATCATGTCAGAGCTAAATTCCGATGCCGTACTCCACTAAAAACTAACCTCTTCAGTTATTGTAGATGGTTTGGACCCATTGCCATTTTTGCCGGGGCTAGCGGGCTCTGCAGGTGCATCGCTGACGTCGGAGGACACGCTGAGGCGTCGCTCATCATTTGACCGGTGTTGAAACCTAACATTGCGGCGAGATTTCGACATGGTGGGAAAGGGGGCCAGAAAGAGAATCTGGGCAGCAAGAGTGGAGAGTGCAGAGGGAGAGAGAGGGTCATCGGGATTAGAGGTTGATGAGCTCATGTGAAGTGCCGTGCCAAAAGCGGTCAGCTTCAGCTTCAGCCCCGTGTTTACTTTTTTTTTTTTGGTTTGCTTAGTTCTTTTATGCCGGGTGTATTGTTCGATTTTATTGAATCAATCAACTCTTTGAACTTCAAATACTATTATTATGTTCGTTACTAGAAATTGAAATTGGATGTGCAGGGTTTTTGTCCAGGTGCCTTGAACTGCCGTGCTCTCTCTCTCCCGTCTTCAACCTCGGAAACACTCGAACTCGAGAATGATCAAAAGCCATCTGTGAACTTAGAACCCGTCAACTCCCTCTGGTATTCCATTCATGGCGGGGGCATGGAAGACGACGACGACGACTACGGCTCCGACGAGTTTGACTCTCTGCCACCGGGAACGTTGTATGAGCTGGAACAGAATGCGTTTCAAGCAACCCAGGCGTCAGCCTCACAGTACCACGGAAATCCCATAAACAGCAACTCTGTGCTTTACGCTCAAGCAGTGCCATTAAACAACAATGCTGGATCGCTGAGACCGCCGCCCCGGCTACACACCGGATTGACGAGCGACTACAACACACTGGAGGTGGGGGAACTGGAGGCCGAGGTGTACGATAATTTTGATGAACCGCATGCCATTCCGCATGGTCAACATGTACTCGCCGCGGATTCTGGCGTTGCAGCTAATGAGCAGCTGGGCGATGCCATGGATGTGGACGAGTACTATGGACAAGGGAACGCCGCCCCGGAGATCAATGCACGCCTGGTGCAGGTGAGTTAGTTGAAAGCTTCTTTGCATAAACTCTAACAATTTTGTATAGGTGGAACAAGAAAGAGAACACATCTTACAGGAGCTAGCCGAAGCGAGGACGCAAGTGGAAACGAAAGCCGGGGAAATCTCGATCATTCGAAGGAAGCAGACATCGATGACACAAGATTATGACCGGCAAATAGCGACTCTTAGGAAATCTATGGCCGACGAAATGGCGAAACACAAGCAAGAGATCGAGGCAGCTGTGTCCGAAGGCAAGGTACTGGCGACAGAGAATGTGTTTCTTCAACAAGACCTCGTAGATGAAGCCTACCAGGTTCGGAGCTACAAATCCAAACCTCGCGAGATGGAAGCCCCAGTGACTCCTCGAAAGTCCCGGGTGCTTCCCTTCCGCGATGGATTTGAAGATGACGAAATAGCCATGGTATCGCCCAGCAAGTCTGCAGCGCGTTCTAAGCGAGCGACGCCGACTGTTCCAGGAAAGCGCAAACGGCAATCAAGCCAAGATGGCGCTGCGCCACTGCAGCTGAACCCCGCTGATGTGGAGCTTATTATGACTGATGCGAATGATACTCCGGCTGAAGTCAACGAGATGAAGCGCAAGTCTGCAGTGGGGTGTCGCAATCAGCGATTAATGATGCGACTTTTGAGCCACCGTACACATCCCAACCAAGAAACAGATTTTGAAGCCATGGCCAATCTTGCGTTTCCCTCGGAGCCACATCGACCCATATCCAGCATCGTTATGGAGGTCATGGCTCGTGTCGACCCGAGCAGCTACGTATTAGAATATACGCAAACGATCGCTTCGCTGTGGCAGCGCGCCATCAACGAGAAATTCTACGAGCCGATCCTTCGGTTTGAAGCTATCACAAAATATAGTTTGATGTCAGATGACGTCCCTCTCTCCGAACTTATCACGCCTCTAGTTGGAGTCTTGCAGGACACAGTGGAAGTGAATGCAGTTCCTCGCTTCAAGTATGCCCCGGCATCACGAGATAAACGAATTACTCGACAGACACCACAGTCAGATCTGCAGCCCCTAGTCGACTCGACTGGGGCCATGCGTCTACTTTACCAAATTGCCTGTGGAGTATTGCACATCAAAAGTGCTATGGAGACATTCTGGCAAAACATTCGGATCTCGTTCATTCTCGTGATGTTGCACCCCTCACACCCACTGGGTGACATTGTGCTTTTGATGAACCTCCTATCAACAAGTATTCGTGCAGACTCATTTGGTCCGATCAGAACTTCTGACCAGGACCAATTGGACGTGCAAAAATGGATTGTGGACCGCCTCACGCACATGCTGAGCGAGCCCGCAATACCGGATGAAGGCGTGGAGCCATACACCGCATACGACATTTGCGCAATGCGCCTCGAGGTCCTGATGCTGCTGGAGTCGCTTGCATTCAACCCTACGGCCTCATCCCAAAAGCATGCCAGTACCATAC